CAAAGGAGTCTCAGAGCGGCTTACAAACTCCTTTCCCTTCCCCTCCCCACAACAGACACCCTGTGAGGTAGGTGGGGCTGAGAGAACTCTTGACAGAAACTGCTCTTTTTCAAGAACAGCTGTGCCAGAACTACGGCTTGCCCAAGGTCATCCAGCCTGGTGCAAGTGGAGGAGTGGGGAGTAAACCCGGTTCTCCCAGATTAGAGTCCGCACACTTAACCACTACACCAAACTTGTCATTAATTGTCTTTCCATTATCTATCACATTTCTGAACTTTTGTTCCTGCAAAGAGCTCAGGGTGGCTTATGTGGCTCACTTCTTCATTTTGTCTTCACAACAAATCTGTATGTTAGATAAGGCTGAGAGAAAGTGACAGGCCAAAGGTCAACCAGCGGCAAAATCCAGAACGAAACCTATGTTTTCCTCCTACTAGTCTATCTCATTGCTCCACACACACACTTCTTGAGTCCCCCAAAGATAACATACTGGCACTAGGGATGTGTGAGTGACTTCCTTTGAAGACTGTTTGGAAGTTTCAGGAGAAGTGGGGTAGAGTGGCCACTGAGTCTCTCAATAGTGTGGTCCCATATTCTTCCACATGATTACCTATTTGTCACTGAGTTGTGGGACACACAGAAGCATGTTGTTGTTGACTCTGGATCTCCTGCTCTGCAGGGTACCAAGGGTACCAAGGTGCCTCCTTGCCACTTCAGGTTTCTGTACTTTCTCATACTATCTATCTACTGTATGAGTGGGGAACAGCATTAGCCAAGATGTGGGCAAAGAGATCAGACACAAGAAAGAGATAGACATTCCAGCATTTCTGGAATCTGTCTTGCTGGACTTTACCTTCCAAAGACAGGATTGAGGGTGTTGGCAATATATGCATCGCTTTCCCCCAGCCTTTTCTTCCCCAGCTTGATCCAGATGTAGGGGTCACACTGCAGCGGGAAAAATAGATCATTAGGAGACAATTTCCACTTCACTGGCATAATGCTCTTTTCACATGCATGCCCATGAACTGGAACAAGAAAGGGGATGATGGTGACAGAAACTGCACAGATTCATACTGTCAACAATGAAGACATAGGCCCATTCTGCATCTAGCATTTGCTCCGTTGTTCTACGAAACCCACGTTGGAACAGATATTCCCCTCTACATTGCATGCCACTTTCACTTTCTTTGATTGTCAGATTTTATGGTAGCCTCCACACTGCATGCCGGTTTCATTTCCTGTGATCTCTCCATTTTATGGTACCATCTGCATAGATTTATGGCCGTTTTATGTCTGCTCAGGGGTGACTCTGCGGTCAGTATGGTGTTGGTCTGGGGTATTTGAATGTGGTTTTGAGCTGCATCTTTTTTTGTTCCAGTGTGGGTTTGGTAAGACAACGGGGCAAATTCTAGATGCAGAATGGGCCATAATAGGTAGAGAAGAGGTTTCCCTCATGGTATATGAGCTTGGTTCCAAAGTGTGTATGCCAGTCAGACATTCCAACAAGTCAAATGCTCGCTCAGCCATTGGCCTTTCCCCCACAATTCAGTGGGGTTTGTCCACATTTTAAAATAATTTTATTTTCCATGGCACATGTATATATATATATATGTTCACCCTTGATACTGGAACAGAAATCTTTAAAAAGCAAAACTGATCTGATATCTGAGGGCAGAGTACGTGTGTTGGTGAAATGGAAGGTGCTAGGAAGGCTACACCCCACACAGCTGACTATTTCTTTTTTCAAACTGAATCATGCTGCAAATTTGCAGAACTATTTTTCCAAGGCTCTCCCTGGAAGAAATGGTATGTATACTGAATGCAATAATGTGTCTCCCAAACTCTCCCCACTACTATTTAAAAAAAGAAAAGAGTTGCCTCTTCACCTCAGGTCTCCCCACAAGCAAAAGGCTACCCTGAGAACTTGGGGATGTGGAGCAATACTTACAGGCTAGTACAGGAATACAGTTCGTATTACCAATAGGCCTCCCATTTACCTGTCTGGGGAAGGGAATTACCAGCCTGCAGACCCAGCTTCCTACCCCTAAGAAACTGAGGAGGGGAAGAAAAAAAATGGCCTCCACATAGTGATGCTCAAGGATTTCCCCCTGGTCTCTGTGGTAAAGACCACAGGGAGGCAGCTTAGAGCATCACTCAAAAGTGACATCACAGCCTCACCAAACTCCACCAAGCCTGTAGCTAGAGTGGGGCATCTCAGGGCAAGGGTGTAGACTTTCCAATTTCCCGGGGGGGGCTGGGGCTGGGCCAGAGGCATTGCTTTGCTAGGAGCAAGGGTGGCTCCCGGGGGAGGCTGAGCAGCTTCCTGAAAATTTCGGCGGGGGCTGAAGCCCCGCCGCCCCCACGAAGATTACGCCTATGTCTCAGGGCCAGACCCCACCCCCTGACTTACTGCCCAGGCCTCCTAACTTCCCAACCAGCCAGTTTATTTTATTTTTCATGCATGTCATGGCCACGCCAAGCTGAGCCGTTGCCCCACTCTGCCTGCCAGCGGTGTACCTCTGGCTGGCTGTGAGAGAGGTATGCCACAGAGCACATCTGGTCCCTACTCCAGCCCTCTCACTCTCATCACTTTTAAAAACATTTTACTCTTTTGTCGCTCCTGACATTGTGCCCCCTAACTTATTTACATGCCCCCAAGTCACAAATCCTGATTACAGCCCTGAACTCCAACCTTCCCAGGAACCGCCCCCCAAATCTCCCAGCAATTGCCAAGGCAGTGTTGGAAACCCTCCTTACCAGTCCATTTCTATCCTTTGGCTGGAGATCAAAAGCCCGGACAATGTAGATTCGAACTAGACACTCCTGGGGGAGGCTTTCGGGAAGCTCTTGAAACTGGCGTGGAGGAGGTGGAACATTTGGGTCTTCTGGCAGTGGGTAGATCTGGAAAAGCCCCTGCAAACACAGCAGAATTTAATGTAAGCGGTTGGTGTGCCACAGCACCCACCGAGGGCAAGGATCCTGCATACTGAACAGCCGCATATCAGATGCAAGAAATTCAGCAGACAAAACCTTTCCTGGCTTGAAGATGCTATCAGATGCAGTTTTCCTACTTTTTGTGCAGTTAATAAAGGCTCAGAGGCTAGGGGGGTGTTATGTACATGGACCGCCTCCAGGGGTCTGCGGACAGGCCAGAGCTTGGATCCGAAAACAAAGGAAACTTCGGATCCTGGATTCCCCAGCCTCAACCAATAGCCACCTTGGCGGGACATTTAAACCCTCCAATGGGAGTGGGGGTGGGGGTTGCTGGTGGATATGTATATAGTGGGCCCTGTTGGCCGTTAGAGTTAGTCTTTGTCTATGTGAAGTACAATAAACGTGTGCTACAGCATGTCGTCGTCCGAGTCCTCCATGCGGCGAACCCAGTACTTTTCAGGGGGGAATGGCAATTCTACTTCACAAGCCTATCACACAATTTATGGATCGTATCTGGCGTATCACTTTTTCTGATTTTTGTAGTTAGATTAGAAAACAGACTGTAGGGTCAGTTCTCACCTTGAACTCTCCCCCCACCATGGGGTCCTCAATGGATTCATCTTTCACCTTTCCCCGGTTCAGTCGAAAGGTCTGGCAGAAATCTTGCAAGCCACGGAACTCTGGCATCTCCTCAAGCTCACAGTTATAGATCTGGGAGTGGGCAGAGAGGATATGGAAGTGGGCAGAGAGGATATGGACTGTCTGCACAGGTGGTATGCAGGCTCGGACTTTAGGTGCCTTTTTCTGGGCACTTGGGCCCCACAAATCCCACCGCTGCAGACCAGCAGCCAGCCTCTAAGTGAGCTGTTGAGGCTTCACATCACATGACAACAAGAAAGGCAGAAGCCCCCCAGTCCTGTGGCAAATCCAAGGGTGTACAGCATTTACAGTGGAGAATTTGTGGACAGAAAAGGGGTGTTGAATCTTTTCCGTGTTTCCGATTCTTCCCTGCAAATGCTCGCCAACATCTCTGCCTAACTAGGCTCCAAAACCCATAAGTAAGCCTAGCTGGGGAAAAAATAGCTTTGGGAAGGGTGCAGTTGCAGGGGAGAATTGACAAATGCAGAAGAGGGCAAAAGTGTGGCTTCCCTCCTGCCGATTCTCCAAATTCCCTTCTCAGCAAAGGTGGGTTAGAGAACATACCAGCTCCTGCCATTCTGTAACACATGCCCACCTTTATAGTATCATAGCCCTTCTCCAGGTAGTGTCCGCTCTTTGACAGATCTCCCACAGTTGCATAATACTTGCTCCACCAGTCAACTTCCTCCTCCTCCTCTGCTGCAGCCTCCTCCTAAGGGAGAAGGAAAAGCAGCTGTGATGGGTCGTGTTCATATTGAAAGCTTTCGGTGCAACAGTAGCCTTACAATGCCCTTACCATGGATTTGCCCTGCAGGATTTGAACCGCTTAGCTCATCCGCAGAGCTTTGCCAGACAAAGGTCAGACTTATTTGGCTTATGGGTGGAAGGGTACATTTCTCTGTGTGCATGTGGAATTATTATAGATGCAGGCCTCAGGTACAACCTCAGACTTTTTGACGTCTTAGATGGGGGGAAAAATCACCTAATCTAAGCACCATCACTAATGGACAACAGAAACAAATAACTGGAAAATTCTTCTGTGCAGGCCCCATTGAAATGAAAGAGAGTGGTGCAAGAGTACATTCATCTCTCTGGGCTAAGAAGATATAATTGACTGATCTTGGCCAATATCTTAATGTAAGAGAGCCAGTGCAGTGCAGCACTGCCACTGCCAGTGTTGGACTAGGCCAGGGTGGACAGCAGGTTCAAATACCCATGGAAAGCAAGGCTCAAACAGACAAGTCACTGTGATCCAAGATAACATGATCCGAGATAACGTGATTTGTCTACAAAATGCCATTTGCAATCTCAGTTAGCCTTGGGGCGATATGGGTAAGAGAGGCCACTGCCAGTGTTGGACTAGGCCAGGGTAGACTGCAGGTTCAAATCCCCATGGAAAGCAAGGCTCAAACAGACGAGATACTGTGATCCGAGATAACGTGATTCGTCTACAAAATGCCATTTGCAATTTCAGTTAGCCTTGGGGCTATATGGGTAAGAGAAAGGGGCTTTAATTCTGCGATCTCTGTTAGGTTTTGCTGAACGAAATCTCATTGCTCGTTATCAGCATTTTACAAGGAGAAAAGATCTCCTGCCATATAAAACGTTAATAACAAAGTAGGAAGTTTGTTATTAGCACTTAGCACTCTGCAAACTCTAAGGCAAACTGAGGCTGCGTGAATGTACAGTTTGCATTTTATGGACAGAACAGCTCATTTCCTCTGTCTTAGACCTCAGTGGATAGCCATGGGCCAGTCACTCCTTCTCAGCTCTCCCCTCCTCACAAGATTGCTATGGCAGTAAAATGGAGGAGAGGAAAATCCATAAGATGCTACCAGTAGTTTCTTGGAGGAAGGGGCAGGAGATAAAATCTGGTAGCAGTGGGAGGTGTTCTCAAGTCACAGATGAATTAATTACTTGGTCTTCATCTCCAGCTTCTAAAAACTGTGTTGCAACTTCCTGTCTTTTCTTTAAAGTTCTGTTACATACCACCAGGCTATAGAAAACTAGTAGTAATATGGCCACTGTTAAAATAAATCAGGATGAATATGAATTCATACTACCAAGGTACCCAGGGATCTGCAGGATCTGAGCCACAGAATGCTGGGACAAATGAGACACAGCAGGGAAATCCACCTTCGCTTCTCCATGTGTCTTTGGTATTGCATTGTGTCAAATGAAAACATTTCCATGTTTATAACACAGAAGAGGGAGATGCCCTCATTGCTTCTCAGATCAGATGGTAGATTAAATCAGAGACTGGCTTCTGAGCTTTCTGGTCGATTAGAACACAGCTGTGTCTAAGTCAAATATTACCCAAGGCAGCATAACTCACCTGCTCCTTTTTTTCCTTCTTCCAGAACCACAACTTGGAGACTGTTTTGCTTGGTCTCTAAAAAAAGAATAAAAAATAAATGAATCCTGCACGGGAGGGCAACGTCTCTGCTGTTATTAATCCAATGCAAAAGAGTTTGTGGCATACTCCTAGAAGGGCACTTTATTTGCAAGGACCTATGATGAGGTCTAACACACATGGCCCATGTCATATATAGGCTGGCAATATGACAAGAAAGTACTCCTCAACTCTCTAAGATATGTTGTGGTTCCTCAGCAGGCAAATTGTACTGTGTTGTCAGAAATCTGGGGAGCAACAGGGCCTTGAGTAGGGACTGCAGTGGTTCAGTTCTTCCCGTGAGTGACGAATGCAGTAAAACCCGATGATCACACAAGGAAAGAACTGTGCTGCTGCTTCCAACCCTATCTTGGGAGTTTACTGTGATATCCCAGGCAATGCTGAGATGATGTGATGGGCCACTTCCTCAATCAACTCAATGATGCTAGGCCACGGGGAGGGAATGTGGCTCAGTGGAACAACCTCTGCTTGGCCTGCAGAAGGTCCCATGTTCAGTCCTCAATATCGCTAGTTAAAATGACCAGGCAGTAGGTGACATTGAAAGACCTCTACCTGCGACCCTGGAGAGCCACTGCCAGACTGAGTAGAGAACACAGATATTTGTGGACCAGTGGTCTGATTAAAACATGCTAAACAAATACATAAAATAAAGCTATGATACCATCTGTAAGGAAGAAAGGAAACGCTTAACGAGACAAGGGATATGACTTCAAGCCAGAGAAAACACTCACCCCTTTTATCTTTCCCTTAGAAATGGCTGTTCGGTGAAGAAGAAGAAATAAAGAGAACATGAAATTAATAGGAAGCTCAAAGCCTTTGTGTTAGAAATGCACAAGAACAGATTGTCTCTGACAAAAAATGTATAATATTTTTATTTGTTGTCTGCTATTCTCAAATCATTTATCTCCCTCCCTCACTCACCAACAGAAGCAGTTAAGAGAGTGTACCAGTGTGAAACCAACAGAAACAATCCCCCCCTTATTAAAAACACATTGTTTGTGTGTTTGTATGTACAGTACTGACAAGTCACAGCAAATTCATGGTGACCCCAGCAAAGGGCTTCAAAGGCAAGTGAGAACCAGAGGTGGTTTGCCATTGCCTTCCTCCTGTTATTTTTGGCCACTGTGTGACACAGAGTGTTGGACTGGATGGGCCATTGGCCTGATCCAACATTGGCTTCTCTTATGTTCTTATGTTCCTCCACAGAGTCTTCCTTCTGAATACTGACTGCTTAGATTCTGAGATCTGACAAGTCCAGGCTATACCATGCCACCTTTCTTCCCCAAAACACACTAGGAAAGCATAATGAACACAAAGTCCTTGGCAACCACTGAATATCTGTAGGGAAGATATTACCTGGGGTAGAAAAAGACCTGCCTCATGTGGCCACCCACCTGAGCTTAGATAACACCGGCACACAGAGTAGAACATGAACTGGGCAGGTTCACATAATAGTAAATTGGGGGTGGGGCTTCCCCCGCTGGCCATCTGGCCGGCGGCGGGTAGAACCCCCCCCCAAACGGGGGACCCCTGGCAAACCGGGGGGGTTGGCAACCCTAGTGACACAGAGTGTTGGACTGGGTGGGCCATTGACCTGATCCAACATTGGCTTCTCTTATGTTCTTATGTTCCTCCACAGAGTCTTCCTTCCGAATACTGACTCTGCTTAGATTCTGAGATCTGGGTTTATATCATGCCACCTTTCTTCCCCAAAACACACTAGGAAAGCATAATGAATACAAAGCCCTTGGCAACCACTGAATATCTGTAGGGAAGATATTTCCTGAGGTGGCCACCCACCTGAGCTTAGATAACACTGGCACACAGAGTAGAATATGAACTGGGCAGGTTCACATAATAGTAAGTGTTCCTTGTGATAAAAACATCCCAGAGTGTGTAGGGCTCTGAAAGTAATAACCAGCACTTTGATCTAAGCCCCGGTGCAGATCAGGAGCCAGTGTAAGTCTTTTTGCACAGCCTGCTCTTCCCCTGCATGAATCCTCATTCTGAACAACTTCAAAAGAGAGTGGGGCTGGTCTCAGGCCTGTATTTTCTGCATCACAAGGAAAGCAGTGGGTGTGTTAAACAGTGGGTTTAACACGGCAGAGGCGAAGGCAGAGTGATTTCAACAAGCAGCAGTTTATTGCATCTCAACAGGAATGCTTTACATGGGGCAACTGCCCTAACTATATACACCTAAGCCACTCCCAGCCCCCATGCAATTGGTGAGTTCAAATGGCCTCTAGGCTCCAGATTGGCTGGCTGCCATCAGGGGCCAATCTGCAGGCAGGTTCCAGGATCCTGTTTGCCTTTGTTCTGGGGCTTCAAGCTCCATCTAGGTGGCCTGGCCAGACAAGCCTTCCCACTCTCCATCTAGGTGGCCTGCCAGACAAGTCCAGGCATGCCTCTTTATGCTGGCTACTAGCAGCTGCAGCAGTTAAGCCTAAGTGGAAGATTGCTCATGTCCAGACATAACAGGGTGAGTGGCAGAGATAGGGCCACAGATGGAAAAAAGGTGGGTGAGGAAGGGTTAAGCACCCCCTGCCTCATTTACCACTTCTCTGCTGCAACCCCCACCCCCACTTTGCAGGTGTTTTTCAGTGACAGGTTCCTAGTCAATGTCTGCTGCAGAAATCTAGTTCAGCCCAGCAAATCTTGCAGTACTGAAACCTAGTGCCTTGAGCCAGGCAAGGAAATTACAAATAGCAGTTACCTCTAAATGGGAGAGTATGGGGCTTTCTCTCTTCCCAAGGATCACAGAAGTACTGGTTCAGAGCCCGGATGGTCGCTTGGCCCACCACTGGCTTGTATCCAAATTCTCTATGATCGATCACTTTCAGCTCAATGGGAGGCGCATAATCTTCATCAACAGGTAGGTACTAAGGGAGATCAATGTGGAATGCATGAAGCAAATTACAGTGGGACCTATGTACAATGAAACAATACAACCTACCTCTATGTGTTTGCAGTGGAAACTTCCTGTAACTTTGGTTCAAGCCCTAGCACAGAGATCCTTGAACTTTGGTATTGCAGTAGGAATGCTATTGTACTGTGTCAAATGAAACCACTTCCAGGTTCTTGACTATCAATAGCTTAAAATGAGCAGAGGCGATGTGAAGATTTTTGTATTAATGAGTGTCAACAGTTAAAAACTGAGTTCCATCTAATGCCACCATGGAAGAATACAAACACAGCCAGAGCCTGTTCCCAAATAAGGGTGCACAGGATTGTAGCCTTGAGGGGGGGCGCCATCAGGTTGACCACTGTGGAGAACAGGATGGAGATTTAGTCTGTTTATGATATCTGCTTGTGAACAAACACCCAGGGAAAGACTTTTTGCAAATTATCTCTCCTGCCCCCTACTGGCCAATAAGGCTGCTCACCACATGCATGAGAAAGATGTTAATTGAAAAATTGGGGTTTTCATGGATGTTCAAGATGATCGGAGTTTCAATAGATTCCTCTCCACACTCCACAGTGAGACTTGGAGAGGAGACAGCCAACAGGTTGAAGGTCTTCATGTTTCGGAGGCCCCAAGCCAGGATCTGCAGGGAAGCCATAATCAATATTTTTAAAAGATGGACTCAAAAAAGAGAGAGGTCTGAAAACTTATTTGGCAGAAGTTTGTTGATTTGTTTTAGTACCAAACTAGGAGTTAGCCTATCTCAGCTCTTCTCCCGTCTTCTCCTCTACTGTCTCTGTTTTAGTATCTTATTTTTTAAAGTTTTAATTCCAAAAAGCGAGTAGATATTATTTTGAAATCAAGAGTTCCAATATAATATTAACAAAATCCTTTTGTTGACAAAATGCCCTTTAACACTCTGGTGATATGCCATTGCATTACAGTGGTGTGGGCAAAATGTGTTTAAACCAGTTAATCAATTGTGGTAGAAGAGAGTTCCAGTAATACCCCATAGTTCAGCCTTCCATCTTTCAATCACTTGGCTGCGTGCTTTGCTTTTGTTTATATTGTACACATGTATAAAAAATGTAAAGCAATTAATTTGTATGTTTAGCAATATTTGTTCCTATATTCACATTCACACACGCACACACACAAATTAAATACAAAAAACCACTTCCCAAGGGTTTGGTATTATCAAGTGTCAAACCCTGGAATTGGACCTAGCTGGCTAAAGAGAGAGGAAGAGGCTCAATTATCAAAGGAACTATTATGGCTCTATCTGCAACATATGGCGTTCAAAACCCTCTAGAAGCAACTACTGTAGATACACTGCTACCGACCTTCCTCAGCCTGCAGTTCAGCGTCTTAACCACTTGAGCCACCACAGCTCCTAACGGTTTGGTATTATCAAGTGTCAAACCCTGGAATTGGACCTAGCTGGCTAAAGAGATAGGAAGAGGCTCAATTATCAAAGGAACTATTGTGGCTCTATCTGCAACATATGGCGTTCAAAACCCTCTAGAAGCAACTACTGTAGATACACTGCCAAGGTAATGGTCCATTCATCTGTCCTTCCCACTGGCACTTGAAATCACATTCCTATGGCTACACCAACTGTCCATTTCCCGCTTTTATAGAACCATGTACAACATGGATGGAGAAGGAACTGGTATCTAGGGCTTTGATGTGGCCCACCCCCTTTTACTCCTTTGTATAACCCTCATTATAAAAGACTCCATTTATTATACATATCAATCACAGCCACACCAACTCCCTGCCAAAGCGTCCTTCTTACTGTTCAAAATGGGGGCACGGCACTAAGGAGCCTCTTGCCTGTGCACTGGATCCTGAAGGTGTGACCCAGTGAGCAAAGCCAATTTTGCTGGCTCTTCAGCCTTTGCTCCAGTCATAATACAGCCCATAAAAAAAACCAACTCGCACACCAGAGAGCTACTAGGCTCAAGGCCTACACTGTTGTGCTCACCTCAATGGCCATCAGCTTCAAGACGGGTCGGATTGTTTTAGGGATGGTGAACACCCCATCTTTCCACGCTGGTGGAGGATGCTTTCCCAAGGCTTCATCCTGCAGGGGGAAGTTGGGATTTTTGTTGAAGGGAGGCCCACACTACTAGTCTTTTTTAAAAAAAAAAATAAAGTTTTTATTTTTTGTTATAAGCATTATTTACATTCCACATATACATTTATCCATACATTAGAGTCATTAACCATCAACTAAGTTTTCTATCCATACATATACTTTTGTCCATCTTTTATCATGTACCTTTTCATTCTTATTTTGTAGCCTCAGGCTCACATCATCCATTTGTGCTAGTTCTAACATTTTAAATGCTAGATCTTCTCTTGAGGGGTGTATCATTTTCCAATAGCCTTGTATTTTGCTACAATTCCACCACATATGGTAAAAGGTCCCTACTTTAGCATTACACTTCCAGCACTGGCTGGAACTGCCCGGATAACATTTAGCAATTTTATCTGGGGACCAATACCATCTGTGTACCATCTTGTATACATTTTCCTTATAAGCTATGGCTCGCATATATTTAACCGATTTCCAACTTTTACACCATTGTTCAGCCTCTATTGTTCCCCACACTACTAGTCTTGAATGGGTTGAGTTTCCACCCTTGTCCAGGCATAGATAATCATTTTAGTGAGAGTTGAAAGAGGTTTCATTTCCAGTGGCATGCATGTTCATTCCATTTGCTCCATTGTCATCTTTGGCCAAACAAACTTGGGAACCTATACAAAAACTGTGTGAAAAACCTATTTACCAGCAGCAAAAATGGGATAACCGTGCATACCCCAAGCAGCAATCCCTCTTTTAATCTGCCTTCAGCTCTCTGAGGCCCTTTCTGCACCTGTATTTTGCCTCAGTTTCTGACCGCATCCTATTCTTCTGTTCTGCATTCCCTCTGGCTTTCACTTCTGGTTTGAGTTGGGGCTTTTTCTTGTTTCTGCATTTGTTTTACAGGAATCTACATTCAGACCACTTCCAGCACACTATTACCCCAGTTACCAAATCTCCTTTTACTGTGATTCTCTTCATTGTAGACAAAGCAGCAAGTTAGCTCAAAAAATGTGGCTTTTGCTAGTAGATGCAGAATGCATACAGGATACACAAATAAATAAACTGGGGTGGGGGAAACAGTGCAGAGGAAATGCGTGCAATTGCGAGGTCAGCCCTTAAGGCTTGACTCCTCAGATTCTTCGGAGCAAGCTGTCAGTGCAGAAAGGGCCTGAACACCCCCCCCCAAGCTGTTGCCTGTCTCCAGCCTTTGACAAATTTCCATTTGTTCAATGAGAAACAAGTAACAATTTACTTGGGAAATTCTTTTGTACAATCCCCATAGAAAATGAAAGAAAGAACATAGTAGTGGAATATGTGCTGAGTGACTTCCCATAGGATTGGGACTGAAGGCAAAAACAGCACCATTTGAAGGCACAATTTTTCTAATTATCTTTTTTTTTCTGGGACAAAAACTGCTGGCCATTGTCTTAAGATTTTAACAAGTTACTATTATTCCAGAGTATCTGATATTTCACAATATGGGTGGCCTTCCACCATAGAATCACATCTATATTGTTAAATATTGAGTTTACACTGTACACTGTATCCATCCCACAGAAGGCTTAATGCAAATCAGCAGCAGGGATGAAGGAAACATGCTTCTTCAAACTCCAAGCACAGAACACTTCAGTGCTTAAAGATGCAAATGGACCTGGCCAGAATCAAACAAAGTGTTTACTATTGACCTCTGCTAGTTTGTCACACCTAAAGAACAGAGACTAGGAAAGCCTCTAGGGCCAGGAAGATTGAGAATCATCCTAGAGGGGGACAGACTCTAAAGGGGAGATTATACATTCTCAGGACATAAGCTTTCTCATGCTCTTACACTGGGTCTTTGCTGTAGTTATGAAAGACTAAACCTTTACATCAGGACTCCATCTTGACCATGTGCAGAGGGAAAATGGGGAGAAGTCCCAACTCTGAGAATTAAGGCAATGATTGACTTTCAAATGCTGCAGCTTCCGGAATTATTAGGCTATCCTAATTAAATATTGTTTAAATCTAGGGTTTAGAGTATTGCATATTTCCACCTTTTCTTTGTATCCTTTCTCAGCCTGATGCTTGCATAGACCATATGGACTCTTTTTAATTGTTTATTAAACTTTCAATATTTTGAATGCTTGGAGCCTGAGTTCTGTCATTACACCATGCTTATTCTGTATTCCAAAAAGTAGTAAAAAAGAGGGGTAGTGACTGAGCTCACCATCCTTTGAATGTGAGAGCTGGAAAACATGAAAGTGAAATAGATTGTTCTTGTGCTCCCTAGTATGAGGAAGTGGAAGATGTAACAACTAGGCAGAGCTTAAAATGGCAGTGCATTGTACAAATCCATCTAGAAGAAGATACTCTTTGAGGTTTATTTGTACCAGTGGATACTACACAGAGAGGTTGGTACCCCAGGAAGTAAGAGAAAGGGGTAGTGTTCTTTGGCAGAGACCTGGGATGGCCATGGAACTTTTCTAAGCTCCTCGGAACCTGAGAGAGTGATGCTTGTGAGTCCATTCCTTCACATCCTGATTGTCTTGATGACATCAACTTACTCACTGGTGTAGCTGGTCCTGGCTCTAGGTGCTAGACATAGCAGAGGGCCTACCCCCCTCACTAAAACAAAGAGAGAGAAGGCAAAGCAACCCGAACAGGATGCAGCTCTCTCTCTCTCTCTCTCTCTCTCTCTCTCTGTGAAGCAGCAAGCAGAGGGGGATTACTTTTTAACCTTCTCCTCTGCCCTACAGATTCAGGTACTAGAAGGAGTCTGACTGTTTTGGAGCCAGAACAGAAACTCCCTCCAGGACTAAGACAATTCAGTGCTCCCCAGCTCTGGCAAAATGCTGGAGCTGGGAAATTGGCTGAGAAACTAGACTGGGCTGATCAGAAGGATGAAGGAATCTCACTTTGAAGTAAAAGGGAACTTGCACTTTGGGTAGAATCCAGTCCTTTTTCTTCTTTCTAGTTTCCTTTCTTTGAGTATGGCCAACCCAACAGGGCCAAATGCCAGCCTGATTAAGGGGTGCCTAGAGCAAAGAATCGGAGACTTCACATTCTCCATTTGTAGCTTTGTACATGAGACATTGATCCCTGCCCTTACCCTGGTTTTGGGTATCCCATTTACTCAAACCTGAGGATCTTGGAGGGCAATAGAGATAATCCCAGAGAAAAACCCTTTATTGAATGCCTATAAGGTTGTGTACCCAGGTACACTCACCCAGTAACAGGAACTTTTCTTAATTTATGATCAACCCTATATATTCCTACTGATTTAATGATGAGTGTTTCTGGGCATAATTCTAAGTGCTGGCATTGATGGATAAGACTGATAAGACCCTAAACATTTTGGGACTGGGGAATGTTAAGCAACCTATATGAAGAAGGCTATTGTAAAGACAGCCTTCTCGGCAGCGGTGCCCCAATTGTCAACCCTTCCATGCTGCCTAGGCTCCCTGTTAAGCCCATCTTGTCTGCCTATTCTATAAATCACATCTAAGGGTTACAGCTTTCTGAAATACATGGTTTTAATTTTTAAATTTTATTTTTTTTTAATTGTATGTTTTATGTCTTTATTGTCTTTTATTGTTAGCTAACTGGAGTATCTTTTTTTTGTATTTTTCATGTGCATGTGAGAATGTGCATGTGAGAATCTGTGTGTGTGCTCACACACCTGGAAGTCATGGCGACCTCTGATGACTGAGCCCTACTGGGGGCCTGGAGGATACTCAGAGAGGTGGCTGAATAAAGCCTGCCCCTGCCTCTGGTATTTCAAGGTCTCCCATCCAAGTACTTGCCAGAGTTGACCCTGCTTAGCTTCCGAGATCCAATGAGATTGGGCTTGCCTGGGCTATCCAGGTCAGGGCAGCTACCTGGAGTACTTTTGAAGTAGACACAGCATCTTAAATACATAACTTAGCAAATAAAACAACTTGGTTTTTAGGATTTCCCATTTTTAATATCAAAGACTGGTGTCCTGGACAGCTGCTTCTTCGCAAGTCCATCTCTCTAAACAGAGGCCCCTCAGCAATTTACTGGAGGGAAACTAGCAGCCTGTCCCTGCCCCCAGCAGTGCATTCAGTAGTACATCAGTGTGTGTTCAGGGAAATATATTGGTTGAAGAGAGACCAGGTAGTTGGAGCCAGGCCTACCAACACTGCGGCAGAATCTGGTGGGCTGATGTGAAGCCTGGAGGAAACTGGTATGTATCTGAGTAGAATGAGGACGGAATTTAGTAGGTCAGGGATCTTGTAATCTGAGCTGGTTTTATAACCTGGTAGAACAAACTTAGAGTCCAGTGGCACCTTTAAGACCAACAAAGGTTTACTCATGGTATGAGCTTTTCTGTGCATGCATACTTTTTCAATCTGTAATGTAATCTGGCAGTTCAGAGACAGTCTAGAAGAACCTGGCCTGTTTAGGATTTCTGTCTTACTCTATAACATCCTGCTGATGTGGTGGCTTTCAACAGGAGCCCCAGAGAACCTGGTATAAGTCCTATGTCCTATTTTTTTTCACCTTGTCCAACAGGAGCTCAAAGGCAGCTAGAAGACGACCTGCAGCTTTCTGTCCATCGGTGATGGGATGAGTGCTGAGACGGGGTACTTTACGTTGCTGGAGATCCAGGCACACTGTTGGTGTACAGAAGCACCTTCCCATGAACAAGTCAGCCTGGCCCCAAAAGGAAGAAATAGTGAGGGCTACCAGTGCTTTTTGTATTTAAGAACTGCTCAGAAACCAATATGTACTGTAGATGCCTGTTGGCAACACAATGGTTATGAAGCTATCAAAAAACTGATAGACATGCTCTGGATTAATAAGCTAAGACTAACCAGGGGCCTGATCAGATATAAGGTAAGATAATATAAAGTGAGGAAATGGAGCAGACCATTATAACATTTATATCCCAGCTTTTCTCTTGGTTCACCACTATGATGATAGGCCACCATTATAACCACCAAAAAGCTATGAGTGATACATCCGGGAATTCCTTCTGGACAAGCCAGGACCATGGTAGCCTAACAATGGCTGAATCCTGATGGTAGATGCAAGCGTTGACTTGGTCCCATTAGTTCAAGTAAGCCTGCAAACAAACCCCGATACATACCACAGGATCGAAGTCATACATCTCCACAGCCACCAATGGTGGATTCTGCTCAACAGACCAAGGGTCTCCATAGATCAAGATCTTTTCAAAGATAAGGGTTTGGTCCCAGCATGGGTGGAGTGTGCCAGACAGGGTCCTGGTTTTCTGGCTCATGTGAAGGAAGGAGACATAGGCAAAAGGATCTAATGTGGAGGAAAGGCCAAAGAATAGGTAGGTCATCACTATGGACTCAAACAGGTACATTCCCTTGCCTCATATATGTTGAATAACTTTGTAAAAAGACACAAGGTGTACCTGCGCTGCAAAGTGCATGGAGATGTGTTAGGGGAATCCATGAGTAAGGCAGGGTGTGTTGGATGGTGGAAGGAAAATGCTTCAAACAATAGAGTGTACAGAGGTAAAACAGTGGAAGAGCTGGATTTAATTCCCCTCATATATATCATTTTCTGTGAAAAATAGACCCTTCCCTTCTCCATTTTACACATGAAACAGTAGGCAGATGAATATAAATACATATGGATCTCTATGTCTGCTTTGACTGTTAACTGGGTTAATCATCATCTCACCCTCCTCCTGGAGAACCTGTAGTTTTATGAGGGCTCTACAACAAAGAATTCTCATAACCTTCACCAAACTACATTTCTCCAGATTCTCTGGGGAAAGCCATAACAGTAAACCCAATAAAAATTTATACTGCTGTTTCCAGAGGCAACATTTCAGATTTTCTTTCTCTGTCCAAATGTCCAGTCAAGATTAAACTGTAACAAGGCATGGTGATTAAAAAAAACACAAAACTCTGTTGTAATTTATAGCAGTATTATCACAAATCAAATATTCACTTTTTCTTGAAGTAAAAGGATTGTGCCTTTGGCTTGTGCATGTTGTGTACTGATCCACTGACTTGGTTTATAATAATAGGTAATGGGTGTACAGAATGAGGGAGAAATATAGATACTCCTGAAAATACCCACTGCTGATTTGAAAAGGTGGCAGGGAGGAGGAAAATGGCTTTCAGTGGTTCCCTTGCCAGCTTCACAGAGAAACAACCTGGGAATTTAAGGGCAACCAGGCTCAAGGGATTCTTGAAAGAAATTGAGAGAAAGGAAGGAATGGAGGGTGAGGACCCTTCCCTTTGTCACGCACCTGCAGAACCCTTACTGCTGCTGCCTGTCAGATCCCTTGCTTGGTAGATATAGCAGCGTAGCTGGTAATAAACAGGGTCTGAAAAATAAATAGGGTTTTGCATATATCCTAGCCTCTTCCTGGCCTGCTTAAGTTGATTCCTTGCAATATTATCCTTCTCCCCACACCACCACAACCTTATAAACATGAAGTTCGAATTGTTCCCCCTCCTCCACAAACCATTCTGTCTAAACTGGAAGTTCAAGTGAATTTGTGTCATCTTCTGACGATAAGCACACGAGGGCCAGACTAGATGTGATGCTGGAATTCTACAACTTTAGGCATGCTTTGACCCTAAAAAAAAAAGCCAAGGGCCCCCCAATATGGATGGGGGGCTGCAGCAGTGGGGAAGATGGCAGTACCTAGGATTGCTTACCTTCAAGTAGCATTTAGAGATCTCCTACTATTAAAATCGATCTCCAGGTGACCGAGACCCTTGGAGGAAATGGCTGCTTTGGACGGTGGAGTCCATGGTATTATCCCCTGCAAATGTCCCTCACCTCCCCAAACCCTGCCCTGCCCAATGTCCTTCCCCTCCTCAACCCCCCCCCCCCAACCCAGAGCTGGTAATCCTAGTAGTACCTATTTTCCCAGTAGAAAAGGTCTCCCTACTTTTAGCTCTGGTAAGGCAGAAAAAGACAGGTACAAAATGGATACCTCTTCTCCCCGCTGGGTCTAAAAGCAGTCTGTGAGAGGGTGTTTTTGATTAAGAAACTGGGATAGGTTAAAACCCCCCCCCCCCACACACTCACACCTTCTCCAGCAGTTGTGTTAAGAGCAGAATTATTCCAAGGGACCTTTTTGATCATTTTTGTACAGTTTATGTTGAATGCACTTTGTTGTTATTTGTAGTTAAGGGAAATAATTTCTCAAAGGGGTTTCTGCTCATCCCTGACTTTCAGAAGCTCTAGTTTTTAGCCAAGGCAATCCCCGGCTTACCCCTCACTCTCTGGCTACTGGAAGAAATGTGTGGGAACCTCCTGTGTAGGTATAACCAACAAACCAGCCTGACCTTAAAAAAAAATCATTTGGGCAAATGTGTGCTCAAGCCCCTACAGAAGCCCCCTTTCCTCATTCTGGGTGTCTAATTCATGGGCAGGGGGAGAAAGGCTCTCTACACATGCTCAGAAGTATCCCAATGTTGTCATTACTTCACATGATGTCAAAGGAAATATTCATAAAAGCAGTCAGATGAGGACATGTTGACCCAGTCACAAGACCAGCTTGACACTGAGAAGTCCCTTAAAACATCCCCTTGCACTTAAAACATACCGAAACTGGTTGACTTAATCGGTTATCCATCCACAAGGGCTGATCTGCTCATGAAGAAAGTAACTAATTTGGGAGGGGGGCAGTCACTGTCACTGCAGAACCACTGCAGTTTCTGGAGCTGGTCTCACAGGTTGCTGTTGTTCTCCAGCACTGAGTGTAACTGCAGAGCCAGCTCCTTAAACCATTCTGAAAATAATGCCCTTCCTCCAGGGAACTCAGGGCGCCAATTATCTCCTCCCCTTTTTATCCTCACAGGAACTCTGTGTGGGAGGCAAGGCTGAGAATGTGCCACCCGTACAAGATCACACTGTGAGCTTCATGGCCAAATGGCCATTTGAACCCAAGTCCATCAAATTCTAGTCCAAGACTATAAACTCTGCAACATTACTTAAAATTTTGGGGTGTGTGATGGGAGCACCCCTTGGGCTGCCATGCTTCTTGCTATCCCCCTGCCATAGTCAACAAATATGCAGTAATCCTTTTTCAGTTCACACCCCAGCTACAATACTGATTGTTGTAGGAGTCTGACACCATTAGCATGTCACAGCCTGGGGAACTCCTACAAGAGCCCTACCCCACCTTCCTGAGTAGATATATATTACCTGCCTACCATTTTTCTTCTCACCTTGACACAGAGAGTACTCCATCTTTCTGTGTTATACCTCTGAGGATACCAGTTACAGCTGCTGGCGAAACGTCAGGCCCTACAATGCCAAGACCACAGCCATACAGCCCGGAAAATCTACAACTACTAATGAACTCTGGTCGTGAAAGCCTTCGACAACACATAAATAAATAAATAATTCTGCCACCCAACCATACTGTCCATAATTTCCTCCAGTTGCATCGGTACTGTTATTTCAAGATTTCTGTGTTCTTTTCCAAACAGGCTACTCACTCCTGAAGATACAGAACAGGAGAGGAGTGTTCATCTTCAGCAGGTTTTGAGAAGAGGTTTTCTTCAGTTCTTTTGCTTCACCTTCTTTCTTCTCTCCAGACATACTTTTTGTTTTCTCTAAGCTGTCAGCTTCCACACCCTAAGGAGGGGACAGTCATAAACCATAAACATTTTATTTAGGGTCATGGGCAACTCTGTCCTAAAACAGAAAACTGAAATTCTGCAAACAAGTAATGCAAATCCTGAGCCAAGAAAAGCTTAATTCCACAACCCATGTAAAGGATCACATTACACAAATTGGATTCTTTGCATAAGTAGTTTCCCCCCCTCATTTTTTTGCCATTCTGCACAATTTATTCTAATTTTGCTAGTCATTATCCTTTTTTTCTTCAGGCTTTCCTTCTTTTTATTCTCCCTGTTTTCCACCTTTGCTTCCCCCAGGCTTTCCTTTGTTTCTTTTTATTCCCAATATCTTTCTCTCTCCCTCCTTCCCCTTAGACTTGCCTTCATTTATTTTTATTTTCCTTATGCCATTCTTTTGCAAACCGAGAAGAGAGGCATTGAGCTTGGCCATCTCAGGTAGCCATTTTGGCTCCACATCCATGGATGCCATTTTGGATTTGACTCTGCCCTGCAGAAATGATTTTGGGATGGCACTCACCACACCTTCTCACAATCCCTAAAGTGTTCACAAGCTTAAAAAGACAGGGGGCCCATTTCAAGTGTTTGAACAGGCAAGTTTCTACCCTCTTCTCCTGTTTTCCTTTTTGTCACTTCACTAACTCTGCCTTCTAGAGAATTTCCAGGCCTTATCAGGCTTAGTTTGAGTTGTGGGGGAGGGATTCTCTGCTTTTTAAATTTACAAAGAAGTCCTTTTCTGTATACCTGGAGAAACCCCCAACTCCAGAGAAAAACACCTACCTGGCCTGTGAGTGACCTTTTTTTTTTTCCTGCTTTAACAGCTATCAGCCATCCACTTTACTATTAAATTAATAATGAGGATGATTACATTGATAGGAAATGAAAGGAAGCAGGGTTGCCAGGTCCCCCCTGACCACTGGGGTGAGGGGTAAGGTTGCCAGTTCCAGGCTGGGAAATTCCTGGAGATTTAGGAGTGGAGCCTGGGGAGGACAGGGACCACAGTGGGGCACAAGGCCATACAGTCCATCCTTTAAGCATCCATTTTCTCCAGGGAAACTGATCTCTGTAGTCTGGGGAGGAGCTGTAATTCCAGGGGATCCCCAGGTCCCACCTAGTGGCTGTCATCCCTATGCAGGAGATACCTGAATGACATCAGTTCATGGAGATGTCAAGCCATTTTCATCTGCCAGGCAGAGGACATGCCAGAAAAGGTTCTTCTTTGCAGGAAAGTGGCTGACTTTCCCTTAATTGCTGGAAGCACCTCCACACCAACTAGAGGGAATGGTGTCTATAATGCCTGCCTTTTCTTACCAGTGAACCCTCCAAGAGAAAAATAGGAGCCACACGGCCAGCTACGATGGGTGTGAGCTTTCTGCACCAGCATCGCCGACGAAACACATCACTTGGTCTCCGCCGCAGGTGAAATTTCCAGCCATAGAGGGGAGCATATTCCCAGGAGTCCTCGCCACTGAACTTCGTTTCTGAGTGCTAAAGGAAAAGGGAGAAAGAAGACTTGAACAGAGCTAGGGGAAAGGCAGGGCCTGAGTGGTATAAAACAGAGGGCTAGCCATGTAAGTCTTTTACAACTAAAATGATGGATGGTCTAATGGCACCCCTGTCATGGCATGAGCTTCCATGGGTTAGAATCCACTTAATGAATCTGAACATGTACTGATGGGATACGCATAAGTTTCTCTGACTGGGCAAACAGCAGCTCCCCAGGGTTGCTACTGACTGAGAAAACGGTACAAGTGGAAGCCTTAATGCTGCCGATCCAAATCAATCCCCTAGAATAATATAAACTTCAGCTGGGCAATCACAGTGCATGTCTGCTTGATGGGGCCCAGGAAAGACCCTGAGAACAGTATATCAAGGAGTTAGGACCTACATGGTCAGTGTGATTCTCCCTCCTGGCCACCATTTCAGAGGTCAGTGCCAACAACTCATGCTAGTTACCAGCCGGAGAAAGGAGGCCATTTGCTGTTCTCGGGTCTCGCCTTGAGTGTCACGGCAGCGCTTCCTGAGCCAGCGCCGACGCCGGTGGGTGTGGTACGTCTTCTCAGCTGCATGCCAAGTACGGGGGATGTCATTGGGTGGAATGCCAACTCCATATTCCCAACCTAAGCAAAGAAATGTGCTCTTATAAGGTCCCAAGGAGAAGACCTAAAAGGATATTCAAACATACCTCTGAGAGACTAGATCAGGTATGAGCCAGAGTGCCAAATCTGCACACTCCCTTGAACCAACCCTGGCAACAAAAACAGAAAAGATGACTTACCAGCATCGTCCACTGCACGGTTCACCTCCACTTTCCAGTCTTCTTCAAAGTGCCAGCCTGGGGGACACACAATCTCTTCCTTTCGGGAGGCAGGAGAGCCGCTCTAGAGCCAAGAGTATATGTGGTAAAACTCATGTGCAATGAAGGTCTAACAACAGCATAAGAAAATCAACTACCTAGAAGCTGCCAAGGATTGGGGCTATGCAAGACTTGAGGATTTGTGGTAAGATTTCTGAAGTGAAACATTTCAATATTTTTATAGTGTCTAAGAAGAAGAGGAAAAAGAGGAAAAAGAGGAAGAAGAAGAGGAAGAAGAGATTGGATTTATACCCTGCCCTTCACTACTTGGAGGAGTCTCAGAGCAGTTTACAAACCCTTTAGGTGCTGAACAAGTAATAGATCTGTGTAATAATAGTAATAATAATGTTATATGCTCCCTACTTCCTTGAAAAGTTCTAGAAGAAGTGCTACTGGGGGTGGTTTTCTCTGTATCAGAACACTGGGGACTTAAGACATCTTGGTAAGATTTGCTTTAGTTACAGATTTACCAAAAAAGCACCAAGTAGAGGCGAAAGGACAGTCCTAGGAGGCATCGGATCTGCTATCCTTCATCATATACTCAGAAGGAGAGATCCTGTACCTCAAGTGGCTTCAACTTCATCCAGTTCACAGCATGCTCCCCCCAACTTGTGTCTCCTAAAACTGTCAACTACACTCCCCCCCCCCCAGAGAGCTGGCTTATACTGAGTCGAACCATTGGTCTAACAAGATCTACCTTGTCTAACTAGCAACAGCTCTCCAGGGCCTTGGAGTGAGGTCTTTCACATCACCCTTTACCTGATCCTCTTAACTGAAGATTTTAAGAACTGAACCTGGGATCTCCTGCATGTATAGCAGATGCTCTGTAACTTAGCCATGTCCTCTTCCCAACCTATCCTCTTCCTCAGCTGGCATGGCACCATCTTCTCCAAGCTCCAGTGAGTCCAAGCTCCAGTGAGTATCTCATTCAAACACAGAGACTTATCAAGAGTCCATCCCCTGACCATTAGCTCCACTTCATGGTTACCTTGACAGCTGGCATATATGCAGAACTGCCTTAGAGGCAATAAGTCTACAGCAAGAGTGTCAAACATAAGGCCTGGGGGCTGCAACTGGCCCATCCAGGGCTCTTACGCGGCCCACAAGCAACTGGTATGTATGGAAATGTAAGGTACTCCCCCTTTTATGGTATCCCTTGGGAAAGAAACTAGTATTGCATATGATTAAATACATTTATTGGGGCTTTTGTGGGTTCCACAGTAAACCAATTACTTTCACACCTAGCAATCAATTGCTTTTGTTTGTATTTTGAATAAAAAATAATATTGTTAATTGGGTTTGACTGTGTCCTTTATGAAGTTTATATTTCCGGTACCTGGCATTATATTTTATGGCACACATGGCCTGGCCCAACAAACTGACATTTATGTCAGATCTGGCCCTTGTAACAAATGAGTTTGACTCCTGTGGTCTACAGGGTTCCCTGGAAGTAGGACGTTTTGAGAACCACTGATGTAACTGTCCCATGAGAACAGGTTCCCATCCCCTCTCAGACTTTCTGTGTCTTATCATCAGCTCCACATGTTCTCTTCACTTACCACATCAGTGTATGTGATAGGAGCAGGTCTCCATTCACGCTCAGGGTGACGAGTTTGGTTTTCATACACTTCCTCCAGCACTTCATTGTGGTTAGTTTCTATGTCCAACAAGAGTCTGGGGAGAATCAATGAAAGAGAATGGAAAATTGGAATCAAGATTGCATAAGGGTGTTGTTCTCTGCCATGACTGTCCACTGAGTTTTTGGGAGACGTTAGGGGCTGACTCCATGCTGGGCCTCAGGAGGGGGGCGGGAAGGTGAACTCAGCAGCCTGCTGTGACTTTTTCACAAAACTGCATGAAGGTGAACAAACTAAAGGTTAACTCAGAAGTGCTGAAAGTGCTGCTGGTTGGTGTTCTGCTGATCTAGGCAGTGGGATTCAACTTGTTTGGGAGGGGTCATAACCCTTCTGACCTTGAAGACTCACATTTTCAGGGACGAGGCTTGGCATACTCCTGGATGTTCTGGTGACATTGGTGGCTAGGGATTCCTTTTATTGGGTTAGGCTGGTATACCATCTGTGACCCTTCCTGAAGAAATCTGACCCAAACTGCTATTACACAAGCTGTGGCAACCTTCAGATTAAACTAACATACCACACAAAACATGGGTCTACCTTTGAAAAGTCCTCAGAAACTTTAATTAGTCCAATCAATGTGGCTGCCAAGTTACTGCTTGGGGCTAACCACAGGGATCATATTATACCAATTTTGATCCGACATCATTGGTCACGTTTGTTCCTGGTCCCAGTTCAAAGTGTTGATGATGACCATAAAAGCTCTAGATGACTTGTAGCTAGGATACCTGAAGGACCACCTTCTCCATCATGAATGACAGGCAGTGGCACCGACTGCTTAACCCACCCCCCCAGACACAGCTGACACCTTCTTCTGTGGATTTTGAGGAAGGCAGTAAAAGCTTGTCCTTTCATACAAATCAGAATCACAATACACTGTGATAAAGACACACTAATTGTTTACTCCACGTAAATTTAAACAAGTAATAAACAGGTGTAAACCATCTAGAGGAATTACAAAATGTGGCCAACAGGTATATAGCAAAGGGAAAAATTAACAAAAAATATGTATTACAGTACATTAAGAACCAAGCTTCAGCTGATCAAGATAGTCAAAATGGGATTTCATCCAGATTCCTGTTCACTACTGCAAATATTTTCCTATTATTGTCTGTATTTTCTTATTGTCAATACTTTTGTTTAAACCCCCCCCCCCCGCTATTTACCTTTTGGGCATATTTTGTAATCCCCGTAGAAGTTTTACATGTGTTTGTCACTTGTTTAATCTTCTGTGGAGTGAATAATTGTTACTATATTTTTATCATGGTGTATTGTGATTTTGGTTTGCATTTTACACTGTGATCTCTTGGTTTTTGTCTTTCAAACAAGCATTTGGGTTTTCTTAGGTTGAATTTTCTACAGTTTAAGGTGCAACACTTATATTTCTGGTCTCTGTTTTCCATTATTTTTGTTTCAAATGACATAGGGCACTTTTATGTAGGCCGAATAATGTACTATGAATGCACTTTGCAACTGGGTTTAGTGTGTGTGAAAGATGTCATAGAATTTTCATTGTTACTTTTATGTGACTGCAAATGTTTAGACAACTAAATAAGCATAATAAGGTAAGCCTGATGAACACTGAAAGCACTACATAAACACGGAGTATTGTTATTACTACTCACAGTGTGGAAACTCACAGGACTTCTGCTCCCTTCCCCCATAACACCTAGGCTTCCTCAACATATGTCGTGAGACATCCTCAACCTGTGATGCTGCAAATTTCCCTGGTCACGCTCTGCTTCATTGGGTTGGGGAGATTGACATGGTGCAGTGACATCACCTCATGAATTGAGAATCCCTACACATTGGGGGTGGACAGAGTAGGCTGACGAGATATATGCTGAGGTTTTTTGCAATGCAGCAGCTCAGTGTCAATCAAGAATAACGTCCAGTTCTGCTTGCAGCTTGATGTATGTACCAGCTCCAGGGAAAAGCATTCCATTTGCATGCATTCTATTTGCAATTATCAGAAATATTGTGTTTGGTATTTCAAGTGCACATGTAAAAAAGTCACCACCAGATGCTGAGTTTATGATCATACAATGGCTGTGGAGGTAGTGAACCAGCACAATCTACCAAGCTTTTCTGTGTCACACATGTAAACATCTAGAATATACAATCTCCCTGATTAAAGACCCCACATGCATTCATTTTCCCAGATTGCTGCCTCATCTGCCTTGCCGTGAAAAAGAAACTCACCTTCTTTGGGGCTCTACGGTCCAGTCGCCATCCCACTTCCAACCCTTTGGCTCTTGGAATTTGTCTTTGGAGAGTCTGACTTCCCCAGCTATATCTGAAAAGCTGGGGTGAGGCTTCAGGTCCCTAGTCCCCCATGTCCCATGGGACTTCTTTTGGTTTTCATACTGAAAGCATCAGAGGGTAAAAAATATCAGTGGGCTAGGATTCTTTCATTTTTATTCCATCCTTCCTCTAAGAGCCTTTGGGCAACATGCATAGTGTACCTGTTTCAGCAACACTGGGGAAGCTTAAGGTGAAAAAGATGCTCACTCTATCTCTCAGCCCAGTCCACCTCACAGGGTTCAGAGCTAATATGTGAGGATTTCAACCCAGGCCTCCCCAAGGACAGGGTCAGTTTTTTTGGTGTTGGTGAAACTGTCCAGGTTTTCTCACCGTCTCAGCATAAACAAGGATCCTCCCTTCACAACATCCCATAAACTCTGGACTATCTGCCAGCCGCCCAAGCCACATCCGCACCCGAAGCAAAGCAGGGATTTCAAACTGCTCTTCTTTGTTTGACAATAAGTGCTGCAGGAGGGGGGAAAAAAAGAGAGTTATGCTTATGAACGGCACAACTTGATTGTCAGAAATGCAGATCTGCCGGCTTCCGGTTTGGCTCCCGCGCATGGCGGACGCTTCCTCGGGTCGCTCCCGAGGGCGCCTCGCCCGCCCGCGCTGGAGGAGGGAATCCGCGCGAGCGGAGACCCGAACGAACCCCTCAGAAGAGAGGAGCTCGGATCCGGGGCGCTTTAGGGCGTACTAGGGGGGAGTCGCTCTTTCGACCGAGAGGTTGGAGAGCGAGGCTCCCGCCATGCCCTGCCCCAATGGACCTTGCTGCGTGAGCGACCCCGAACGGGGTTTAGCGGAGCCACCAGACGTCACCGAGTGATAAAGCGACCATCCGCAAAAGTGGAAAAGAAAAAGAAAAGATCGGCTTAACTGTGAGTTGTCAAAATGCAGAGAAAAAGAACTGAAAATTGTTTCCCCCCCCTCCCAGCGAAAAAGGCGAAGAGGTTAATCCTCCATCTATACAAGCGAAAAAGAAAAGGAGGGGGGGGATGAATTGAGCGGACAGTGATGTTTTCCTTTGATGTATTTGAAAGCGAGAAGCTTGTCTCTCTGGAGCACATTTTAAGAACTTTCTAAAAGTAAACAAAAAAGAAAAGATGTCGGAGCTGGGCAAAAGCGAGCGGAGAAGGAGGGAGGGACTTCCGTCTGGGCGTTTGTTTGTGTGCAAGAGCCGGCTGTTGAATGTTTGGACTGTTTATGGCTGTGAATCCGACGGGAGTTTTGCAAAAAAGATAAGTTGGAATTGTGACAGCGAGAAGTGCCTGATAAGCGCTTATAAGTCAACAATTGCGAGGAGGACCCATAGAGAGTCTGGGAGCGAATATAAAAGCGAAAATGAAATTGATACCATTCTCGAAAATGGGGACCTCCGGGGCATGAAAGGAAAAGGATTTATAGTACATGAACTGAGCGTATTAACAACAACCCGAAGGAGGATCTAACAAGCCGGAAGGAGAAGACAACAGAGACAACAGAGGAAGCTCCTCCACGTCAGCGATAGTAAAAGTACCCAGCACGCAAAGAAGCGGTTCTGGATGTGCACAGAAGAGACCCTTTTTATTAACAGAATCTCAAAGGAACATTACTAACATACTAACAGAGAATACATGTAACAGGACTAAGAAAAGAAGTTTGGCAACACACAGAAGAAGCCCAAGAAGATTAATTGGACATTACTAACAGTTTAATTTACCAGTTTATATATCACTCAGCTTTCTCTTTCTCCCACTGTCTACCCCTCCCTTTTTTTCTTTTAAGCGAAATACCTCCCCTTTTTAGGGGAGCCAATAAAACCTTTATTAAAAAAAAGAAGAAATGCAGATCTGCCAAGAACTGTCCCGGCTGGAGCCATTTCTTTTCATGGCTGTCTATGTTTTCACTGCACATGCATCGGACCTGATATCCAGTACAGGATTTGGCAGTCTGAGGACCTGGGCTTTCAAACAACCACTGAAAGTTCCTCATATCTATGGCTGCTACAAGCTAAGCAGTATGCACTGGGGGAGCTGTGTGTGTAGGGTGGAAGACTCAGAAACTGGAAGTAGGGGATGCAGTTGTATCCTCTTAAGGCTCACTGCTCCAACCCCATAATGGGCTGTGATCTGTCCCCCTGCCTTTCCCCCTCCACTGTGATGCCCTCCTTGTTATGTGTTGCATGATCCTTCACCTTACAAGCCATTGGGAATTCTCCCCCCCCACACACAATGAAATGAATGTTTTTTTTTTTTGTACAGCTTGCAGTCATTTTAAAAGGCCTATGTACCAGAGAATGCACTTGGTGGATTCTGCCAAAAGAAACGCATTGAACTCGTTTCGTACGCAATCCCAAAGACAAGCACTGTACTACGTTCTTTAAAAAAATAATCAACCACCCCTCCAGTTTTGCAACCAGAAAAGCAGAATTCTACAAACAGTAAAATTATACAAATTAAGGGATTTGCATGCATTCAGCATAATTCATTCTCCTTTCCCATCCACTGGGAATTTGAATCTGCTCCTCCCTGTCCCTGCCTTTCTTTTCCACAAGCCTCAAAACCATCTTAGCAAACTGAGGACCTAGAAACTGGCTTCTTCTCAATGAAAGGGAATAATATAATTTTACCTTCATAAAGATGGTGTGAGTTTTGCCGCATAACGTTCCAGTGGCACGGTGGCCAGATTTGGAGTACATGATGGAATGAGCTTTCACCCGGGCGTAGGCTACCCGCCTCTCATTGCACAACATCCAGATGATCACGTCTGGCATGCTGATTTGGGTCTAAGAAGAGCTAAAAGTTATGATCGTTGTGTTCCCTTTTTACAGCTTATTCAAATAAATTTTTTAGTAAATGCTTTACAAAATGTACGATCACTCCCATTCTCACAACAGCCCTCTGAGGTAGATCATGACTATTGCCACTTCACCGATGGAAGACTGAGGTGCAGAGAAATTTGCACTAGAACAGTAATACTCACTCAATGGCTCAGGAGTCACCTGTGACTCTTTGACAGGCCACCTGTGGCTCTTCTGACCACAGCTCCGCACTGTGGCAACCTGCCCCATGTTACAGGAATGTGGGCAATCTCTTTAGAAACTAGAATAATTTCATGGTTACTATGGGCTCAAGATAAAACTGGTGTATTTTTAAAACACAGCACAACTTGCCCATGAAGAGTATCTCAAGGCTCTGGACAGGTAGGGGTTTTGTGTCTGAGGCTAGGAGGCTGGATCCACATATGCAGCTGAATAAGGTGTTAGAATGGGGCATTCTACTGTTGAGTGCTTGCCCATAAAACAAAACTCCCAGTAGTGGGGGAAGGCAACCATGATAAACGGTACCATTTCTCGTGACTTGCCACAGGACTTGCCCCACGACTACCCTGGCATTCTGAAAATAAAAGACTGGCAATCTGGGACTCAGGGTGTTCTAGGCCAGCTTCCTTTCTCCTCTTCGCAGCCCAGTGCAGACCACCCTTCTCCAACGAACATGGAGAGTTATCCCGGAAACATCTCTCCATCTTACATTTTGCTAGTTCTCATTATGACCACCAAACCTCAGGCCCCTGATGTACCTCTAGATTGATCAAGGCAATCTTGTGGAGCCAGTTCTCTGCTTTGACAATCAGTTTCTTCAGGGGGTTCCTTGAATTTGTCTTTTCTGCTGCCTTGCTGATTTGTTGGAGGAACCGGGTTCGCAGTTTCATCAGCTGCTGATCCAGAAGGGTGGCAGTGGCCTGATTTTCCAAGGCAGGAAGAGGCTTCCTGAGTACAGAGCAGGCAGAGAAAGTTCAGCATTTTCAGTTAGATACCCCATGGCAGAAGGAAAGGACATCCCCATTAAAAAAATCTTGATACTGCATGCAGAACTGAATTTAGGGGATGGGGGAACAAGTGGTGAATAAGAATGCATGCACTGCAGAACGCAGCATCATTGGTGCAGCAGAAAAATCTAGTAGACCCCATTTCTTAGATGCCATTAAATATGGTTTTCAGAGCATTGTTTAATTCCAAGACTGAAAAACACTGGGGAGTCAGCCTTTCTGGATTTGAGGATTAGTTATGCTTAAACTCTGTGCATGCTATGTTACCGCTGTGCATGCAGAAGAGCCAAGCTTTAGCAATGAAGAAGTTCTCATACTGAGATTATTAGACAATGACATTGTGTGAATGCTCCAAAAATTGCTGCTCCAGCTTGAGAGTTAAAGCAGAGCAAAACTGCCGTGTGATGCCACACAACTCCACCTGGACCTCCTTTAGGCCCCAGTTCCATGGTCCCTAACCCAGTCCAAGCTCCCTTGGTCTTCCTCTCAGTTGCTCACTTGCTGTCCTCCAGCAGTTCTTTCTGGAGCTTCTTCCAAACAACACCCACTTTTGGATCCTTGGGACTGCTGATGGCTTTAAGGGAATCCAGATTTTTCTTCTGTAGGAAAAAGAGACTAATGTCTATAGCTTGACACCCCATTAGCCAATCCTAGAACTGACTGGAGGTGTTTTTGTGCCATCAGAGCACTGGGACCTAGTTACCTGTGGTGGGGTCAAAAACCTGGCTGATGAGGGGCAGGTGTGAGAATGTGCTCAGAGGAGTCTCACTTTACACAGGACTTTCCTGGGTTAGAAGCAGCCCACATGGCCTTTGAGTATGTGACGTACAAAAGACCAGTAGATCTTTAAACTAGGTCTGGCCCTTAGCAAATGCTTCACTTTGTCACTTAGCAAATGCTTCACTGGATCTCACTGCTGGACTGGATGTGGCAAGACTTCTGGGATCCCCATAGAGTCCCAGTAGGGGCAGCTGGGTGGAATCAGGGCAGCAGAGAACTGAAATGGAGAAGGAGGAAGCGTGGTCTCAAAGTCTAGTTGTATTCTCTAACAAGCACAAGATAGGTCTCCTGCAAGAGGACAAGAGCAAAGCGCTGTGTTCCTTAACAACATCTGGCCTGCAATTGCTGTATACAAGCATGGAACCTTGTATCTAACAGAACTGAGCATTGTAGGAACTTAAGCTGTCCTTTTAAAAGACCCATCTCTCTATCCCACAGCTGCAGAATTCAGTTTTAATGCATGTGGACAGTAACTGATGAACTCTCAGTAGTAGCATGCGTGTGCAGAGATGTGTATGAGTTTATTCTGGCACTTGGATGTCTAGTTCAGAGTTCAAGGAGGACAGAGGGAAGGGGAGGACTTCCTCCTGGTCCTTCTACCCACTCATTGTTTTGAGAGCTAGAAACAAGGCTGCAGATACTACTGTGGGGCCAGATCAGTTAAACAGGAGGCCACTAGGCTGGTGTGGGAATGAAGAGAATCTTTTCCCCTTGGCCTTTTCTGAAACACCAGATCCTCTTTCCAACATGCCCAAGTGGTCATGTCTCTTGATTCCCTGGAAATGCAGTCCAAGATGGCAGACTCATAAGAGTGCCTGATGGCCATAGGACCCAGTTTGTCCAATAATGGGGAAGGAGGAAAGGAAGAAGAGGGAAATGAACAAAACAGTTTTAACAAGAATGTATACAATACAAAGATGTCATTTTTAAAAATACCATGCTGTATCTCATGAGAGCAGCACTAAAACTACTAGCCATCTTCATCCAAAGACTAAGATAAAGGACCTATGGGAATTGGAATGGCAAGCCAAACACCAACTACGTCCCATTATCCTAGTTACTAAGATCCCTGCCACACAGGGAGGGGGGGGAATGCACGGGCAAAGTGCGGCTTTTGAAAGCCGCACCAAAATAGGCATGCGGCGGTGGGATCACATAGATCCCATGAGCCGCCGCGCAGTTTCTCCCCGGCACGATCAGATGCTGGGGAGACCAGGGAGAAAACATGCACAGTTTGGCCAGGAGCCTCGGATGTGCCGGCAGAAGGACGCGCCGGCAATCTCATGGCTGTGCTTGCCGCAGCCTTTCTGGTAAGTCCACCTCTAGGGGCAGCGGGTTTCGGCCTGAAGGGCCGGATCGGGGATGGGTGCGCACCGCTTCCCAGATGTTGTGGTGCGATCGCGCCCGTTTGCTGCACCCCCGATCCGTCCCTCTCCCGGCCCAAACCCTTACGTGTGACTGGGGCCTAACAGAAGAATCACTCATCTGACGTAACCTTGAGATCTGCCTAGCTATTTAATACATGTGTCTCTCCCCTCCCCTGATACCATTTTATCCTCACAACAGGTAAGCCTGAAAGAGGATGACTGATCCAAGGTCTCCCAGTGAGCTTCAGGGCTGAGTGGGGATTTAAACACACATCTCTCTGGGACAATTCACCCCTGGTAACTGACACCTTTCAAAGTCCATCAGCAGATTTTAGCAATGATACTAAACATGGAACCTCTGTGCTTGACGGTAATATACCCTCTGGTGCTGAGAATGGTAACCTTCATCATGCCCAGTTTTTAACCATCTTCTCAGAGCCATCTGGCCAGCCTCTTCTGGAGGCACCATGCTGCATGAGTGGATCATGCATGAGACACATCCCACGTACCCCCAAACCCTCTATCACTCCTTGTTTAGTTGTTTGTCCTAAGCACTTTATACAGCCAGTGCTTGAACTCACCAGCTTGTTGTACATGAACTCCATAGTATTCAGACAGCTGATTCGGTAGCCCACATCCTCCCAGAAAGAGGTTATGGCCACCATGGGCTTTGTGTCGTACCAGGGCAGGTAGTAGTAGCAGTTACCTGGAATGAAATTAGTGTCATCATGACTGACTTGGGGCTCAGAGTGGGGCCTTATCCCTGCATCTCTAACCTACACTTTCCTCCTCAGGATTTCTTCTCACAAGATTTCCTGGCTCGTTCCCTTTCTCTCTCCTTACTCCAACTGTTTTTCTCTTACTACACACTCCTTACCATCATACACGGCTTGGCTGTACTGCGTGGTCGAAGCAAAGGGTTTGCAAGTCCCATCAAACTTGTTGCCGTAATTCCCAATGCTAACCTCAAACTGGATCAGTTCCTTGATATCGTCCATCATGGTAGCTGAATAAAAGACAGCACAGAGCCCATACCTATGCCGGGACATGAAGCGCTACCAAAGTAAAGAAGTAAAAAAGTTAGGAGAGGAAGGTATCACCTCAAAACAGCTAGTCCTAAAGTACAGGAGCCTGGGGTGTGCCATTTTTCTTGGCAGTAGCAAGCCACATAGTGAGATGAGAAAAAGTGAGAAGAGATTTGCTTCTCCCATCCAGTATCTAAACTGGCTTCCCTAGGAGGCAGACCTACCCAGTTTTTGACCTAGCAGTTCTTCTGGTTTGTAGGCAGATTAGACAAGGACCTCACGCAACTTCAGCAGGCCTTCACACTATATATGTGAGGGGATGGTGGGCAGAAAGAACATAAGAAGAGCCATGCTGGATCAGACCAAAGACCCATCTAGTCTAGAATTCTGTTCACACAGCGGCCGATCAGATAGGGCTTGCTCTCCCTTCATTCTAGCCCCTATCATCAAAGCAACATCTTGTAAGGCCCAAATCTTGACAAAAAAGAGATGCCACCTGTATTTCTTTGCACACTATAAGATAATACATGGTATACATCCTTCTGCGGTTACCTCTATTCTATTAACTGTGTCTTCAGGAATGTCTCCAATCATGGGATTAGCGATCACATCCATGCTGGTGTTCAGCTCCACAAGGATTCTTCCCCGATAAGCTGCTCCTTCTTCCTGGAATATTAACGGAACAAAAGAGTCCATACAAGTAGAATCAGAAGAGGAAACTATGAAGTAGAAAAGTAATGACAAGCTGACAGAATAAGGAGCTTTTTATTCACACTCTCTAGTTCTGTCTAAAATTATAGGTGCAAGCACATCAGGTGCAAAGGTCTCGAGCTTAGAGAAGAGGCCTTTGAGTTACAAAAACCTGCATATTCCTCCCAATGTGCTAATTCAATACCAGAAGAATATCTGGAAACCAAAAATTGCAGAATGCTACATACAATGCATAATCTGATATTTATTACATTTATAATTTCTTTAATCGAGGAACTCAGAGTAGTTTACACTGATTTACTAGGAGTACACCTCTGAGAATAAAAAAACCAAACAAACCAAAAAGCAAACCAAAAAAAAAGGTTCTAGCCTTCATGATTAGTAAGAAAATGTTCAAATATAAGTGAAATTTCTGCTAAATATGCAGGATGATTCTGTAAACATGTTTACTCAGAAGTAAACCCTACTGAATGCTCCCCTGAAAGTTTGCTTTGGATTGTAAACTTTGGCCCTGAAAGTTTGCTTTGGATTGTAAACTTTGGCCCAATTAAATAACACGTGAAAGCTCTGTGGTTAGAAATGTATTTTTTCTTTTTTTGGAAAAAAAAGCTAATCAGCATGTTTGAAGATCAGGGAGTTGTTGCTGGAGGGTTTTACATAGCTCCTCTTTGTACCTTAATTCTCTGCTCTTATGTCTACAGTCTTGAGCATTAACAATTCAGCACAGTATCATGATAGTTTCCAGCCAAGAGAGTCTGTAGCTTACAGTGGGCTGAGGAACCAGCCTGGTCCTTTAGGAACATAAGAACATAAGAGACGCCAATGTTGGATCAGGCCAAAGGCCCATCCAGTCCAACACTCTGTATCACACAGTAGCCAGAAATACCAGTGCCATCAGGAGGTCCATCAGTAGGGCCAGGACACTAGAAGCCCTCCCACTGTTGACCCCCCCAAGCACCAAGAAGACAGAACATCACTTGCCCCAGAGTCCCTATCTATACCTTGTGGCCAATAGCCACTGATGGACCTCTGCTTCATATGCTTATCTAATTCCCATTTGAAGCCGTCCATGCTTGTAGCCGCCACCACTTCCTGTGGCAGTGAATTCCATGTGTTAATCACTCTTTGGGTGAAGAAGTACTTCCTTTTATCTGTTCTAACCCGACCACTCAGCAATTTCATGGAGTGCCCACGAGTTCTTGTATTGTGAGAAAGGAAGAAAAGTACCTCTTTCTCTACCTGCTCTTTCCCACGACAAACATGGTTCTATACCTATGAAATTTTGGATAGTGCCTGTTTCACAGCTACAGAATCTTTCAGCTAATGGAATCCTCTCAAAGTGGTCTGAGAGTTCTGCCATTGGAACTGAGGGCGATTTTGCATTGGCTTTTCCCTCTGTTGTTTTACGAAACCCACACTGGAACAGAAATACCCCTGTGCATTGCATGCTGTTTTCACTTTCTTTGATAATTGGATTTTATGGTACCTTCTACACTGCATGCCACTTTCACTTTCTTTGATCATCGGGTTTTATGGTACCTTCTGCATAGATTTATGGCCATTCAGGGGTGACTCTGCAGTCAGTACAGTGTTGCCCCAAGGTATTTGAGTTGAGAAAATGTGGAGCGAATGCTAGATGCAGAATCGCCCTGAGTTAAATCGAGCTAGCATAAAGGCTCATCTATATTTAGGAACCATCAGATAGTTGAGATAAGCTGGGCTAAATTTTGAGTATGCCAATCCCAGGTAAAGGGGAGAACAAACTCTGCAGGCCCTGAATCTAGTACTAGACTCATCTAAGGCATAGAGACGCCTCAAAATCAACTTTCTAATCGAGGTCAAACTAAGGCTATCGATATCATTAGGGGAGATCCCCAGGCAATCCAAACGAGAGGTTACGTGACTCTTTGGAAGCTGCAATTAGCTCTGCAGGGAGGAAAAACAGTTATAAGCATTAGCAGCATCTGTCTTTTCCCACCCACAGAGCTAACTGCATAAAAGAGGCAAAGGAGGAACTGATTAGAACTCTCTCTCCCCAGCAAGCCTTTACCTAATCTTAAAATCAGACACCATTGATTTTTTCCATCTCAACTTGTCTGGTCCTTAGAAACTACTGCATTATTAATATTAAGCCGTACTTAAATTAAAATGCTTCTAAGTCCAGTACAAACAGTAGGATAGATGTGTCGCTACTTTAATAGCATACAATCTAATGGGTATATAAGGAAAAAATAGATAAGGTAAGAGGAAGACTCTTGCCTTTGTTACATCTACAACTGGGTCATTCTAGGTTTGAAACACTGATGAATTAGAGAATAATACTTACAATCCCACTGTTGAGATCCTCATAAGGATCCTGTACATTTATGTACTCCCTTGGACTCCCATAGATAGGCAAGAAGGAAGGTCCAAAGCATGGCAGGAACCCAGAGACATTCCCTGAAACCAATAAAACCTTGAGAAAAGAAGAAAGACATACATCCACCCTATTGAAAGGCAAGGAAAGGCGAGAGTTTTAGGTGCTATTAAAGGCAATAGAGACAGAGACAGACAGATCATACCCACAAGGCCTAACCCACCAGGAAGTACTCCTAGACAAACCCCAGTGAAATATGAATGGTTTTGAACTAGGAGTCCTGATTGTACAGGTACTGATTTCCTGCTCTCCAAGTAGAGGAAGAAACCTCAGGCAGTTCAAAGCTGAATTCCAACTCTACCATCCAGAATTGTCCTGATCTAGAAAAGAAGGTGACTCCAGAGAGCCAATCCCACCCTGTTGTCTGCTGAATAGATCCAAGATCTCCCACACTTCATTTGGGCAGCTTGTGGTACCCCTCCCAGCCAGCTACTCTGCTCTAAGTGCTCCAGGCATCAGGGATGACTCCAAGGTCCACCAACAGGGTTTGTGCAACCTCTCCTGCCACCTCTTTTGCTCTCACAGCATGGGTTATATCTTTAAAGCCTGCAGAGTGGCTAAAGAATCCCCTCTTCATCTGCTCCTGTCCTCCACCCCAACATCAGGTAGAAGTCACTAACTCTCCAGTCTCAGGTGTAGAAGACCAGGCAACCCAAGACTATACGGCATGGGAAAGGTCAGCACTGTTTCAAACTGGATCACTTGGGAAAATATCTCTGCATACAGACTGAACCCTCAAGGGCTGCTCCCAACATAGGCAGAAACAGCTAGAGGATTTAACACCACAGCCCTAGAGATGGTAACACATAGTCTCTGTGAATGTGTGAATCATGTGGGTTTAAAGAACTGGAATACTCAGCACATTACATTTTTTTAAAATGGAGATTATGAGAGCAGGGAATCAGTTTGGTGTAGTGGTTAAGTGCATAGACTCTAATCTAGGAGATCTGGGTTTGATTCCCCACTCCTCCACTTGCAGCTGCTGGATGACCTTAGGCAAGCCATAGTTCTGTCAGAGCTGTTCTCTCAAGAGCAGTTTCTGTCAAGAGCTCTCTCAGCCCCACCTACCTCAGAGGGTGTCTGTTGTGGGGAGGGGAAGGGAAAGGAGTTTGTAAGCCACTCTGAGAAGGGTGGGGTATAAATTCAATTTCTTCTCTTCTTCTTAAATCTAAATATAAAGTGCCAGATTTAGGCCAGAAATGGTCTCCCATTTCCAGTCTACATCTCCTCTGGTTCACAAATAGATATGCACAAAAGTCTAAGAAGTCATCAATCATGTGGGCTGGTGGACGACCCATAGATTTCAACTTGCCACTCCAAGGCCCTAAACATGAGCTACAAAGACAGTAGTCAGGGTTAAAAGTGATCACAGTCAGTACTTGGATGGGAGACCGCCAAGGAAGACTAGGGTTGCTATGCAATGGCAAACCCTCTGGCCCTCTCTCCTCTGGAACACCCCGTGGCTGGGGTTGCCATCAGTTGACTGTGACTTGATTCCTCCTCCTCCTCCTCCTCTATTAAGGCTACAGACCAGGCAATCCTACTTGGATAGGCTCAAGAATAAGAAATTAGCTGGTAAAGCCCAGCCTGGAAGTTTAATAAAAGAGCACAGGTGGGGTGTAAGTTTATGTTTTTGTGGACAAGAGGTAAGCAAGAAAATGTCACCATCAAATTCAGAACTTTTTTGGAGGCAACATGGTTTATAAAAGTTACTCTTCACTTCACCCAAACTGGCTTATTTCTGGAAAGATCAATGGAATGCTCTGCTAGGATTGGCTCCAAACCAACTTTACTCTTTGATGAGGGTGATAGAAATTCTATAATGGAAGACTTAGAACAGTCAGGGATAGAACTGGTTCAAACCTGTAGAAGAATGAGGCGACAGAAGGGCCCCACCAGATTGCAGGTTTTGGATTTCAGTTTTAAATGTTCCTTCACAGAAAAAAAAATATCCCTGCAAACAGTAAACTGGCACAGCAAGGGGAAAAATTCAACTCCATCTACACACTCCCCCTTCCTTGTTGTGCTGGTTTTCTGTTTTCAGCATAGGAAGAACATCCCACAATGTAATCCTCTACCTAGGTCTGCCAGTTACCTGCTGAGTGTGAGAGATCTCCCTCCCCACAGCTCCTGTTGCCTTTTGTTGCTGTGGCAACTGGTGAGAAAAAAAATTAAGTAAAAAACCCCCCTTGGAGTAACATTCTTATGTCACGTCTTGGGGAAACCACAGAGTGACCATTGAGTTTCCATAAATTCCTGGAGAGGCATGACATAACTTCCAGGTTTCCCTGAAAGTGACTAATGTTATTGTACCTCCCATGTTCCTGGTCCCCCCAAGATTCCTGCCAGTTTCCAGCCATAGGCTGGCAATACTACCTCCCCCTGTAGTCTGAAGTAGTGTGATCCATTCTGTTTACTAGGGCTGCCAGGTCCCCAGTTCCCATTGTTCGTCCCTACTTGCAGAGGTGGTGGGAATTTTTTTAAAAAAACAATGGCAGCATTGTGTGCAGCACCTCCTTACTTCCAGTGAAAACCTGGACTTGACATAGGGTAGCTCTAGGAATCACCAGAAATGCTATGGTTTGAATATATAAGTTCTGATAATTCCTGAACTACCCTATATCACTTACCCTTTAATAGAAGTGATATAAGAAGAGAGATTGGATTTATACCCTGCCCTTCATTTGGAGTCTCAGAGTGGCTTACAATCTCCTTTCCCTTCCCCTCCCCACAACAGACACCCTATGAGGTAGGTGGGTCTGAGAGAGCTCTTTTGAGGACTGCTCTTGAGAGAACAGCTTTGAGAGAACTTGTGTCTGACCCAAGGTCACTCCAACAGCTGCATGTGGAGGAGTGGGGAATCAAACCTGGTTCTCGCAGATTAGAGTCTGCACTCCTAATCACCAAACTGGCTCTCGACCAGTGTTGGAGCCCTCCATTTCCCCGCCGTCAACCCTGCTGCCAGTTGCCAGGCAACCCTATTACTAACCTATTCTCCAGACCTACCTTCCTCCTCCTTGCCATCCTTTCACTCTCCCAAACTAGCTTCTATAGAGTCACCACTGTCAGACAAGGGAACTGGATTTTGTCAGCTCTTGGACCCGAACTCTTGAAAGGCCCCTGTATGAGACTACTGCAGGGCTCTTGACCAGTTAGCAATCATTTCAAAGGGGCGAGCGTAGAAGAACCTCCTGCCGGACTGAGCCCTTGTGTTCATTCATGGGAGAGGGGACTGTCGTCTGGATTTTCTGACTCAGCCAAAATATCTTGGGCAAGGCCTGGCTGAAATTTGCTTACCGTCTGTTTCAGACCCTTTGAAAGAGATCTGGGAGAGGCTGAGAAAAGTGGTCCCAATAATACTGGTGTTTGAATATTCATCCCTAGAAAACAAAAGTAAATGGAAATGTTTGGGGGTCCATACCTCTGTGGGAACTCTATGGCCTCTCAGGTATTGCTTTTTTTACACTGGAGATGATGGGTGGGGGACAGTGAAGAACTGACAATTGGTATTTTAAATAAATGCCTGTAAAGCTGACATTAAAATATGTATATCCTGCCTTTCCTGGTTGCTCCAGGTGCCTAGAAGAAACCACCAAGAGGCTAAAGGTAAAGGTAAAGGTTTCCTTGCTCGAAAGCCAGTCGAATCCAACTCTAGGGTTGTGGTGCTCATCTCCGTTTCAAAGCCGAAGAACCAGCGCTGTCCGAAGACGTTTCCGTGGTCATGTGACCGGCATGACTAAACACCAAGGCACACGGAACGCTGTTACCTTCCCACCAAAGTGGTACCTATTTATCTACTTGCAATTTCTTGCTTTTGAACTGCTAGGTTGGCAGGAGCTGGAGCTAGAGGCAGGAGCTCACCCTGTCTTGCCGCACCCGGGTCATGAACTGCTGAACTACTGACCTTCCACAGCCTGCAGTTCAGCGTCTTAACCACTTGAGCCACCGCAGCTAGACAAGAGGCTAGATAATGTTAAAACATGAAATTTAACCCCCCATAATAGTATATTTCAGTAAATAAAATACTTATAAAGGTATTTGATAACTTGCTGATTATTTACTTCTTGCATTGATGTAATACCCCCTCAAAACAGATCTCCATCACCTGATGTTTCTAAGCGCTGTCCAAATTACCCTTGAGGGAAAAACAAATTTCTGTCTTTCTCCAGAAGTAGTGTGGAAGACAGGATGACCTCAGAATATAGGCCATGTTTGACCTACATAATAGACCAGTTCACGAAATACGTATAATTGTTGTGAGCTTACTCTCTGGAACTCTCAAGAGGGAAATGACGTTTTCAATCTGTATATTGAAAACTCATGAACCTTTAAACATTTTTAAAGGAATTTTGTCGAAGAGGTTCCAGAACTCTGTTCCGGTGCATTCCCCAAGAAAAAAAAGCCCTGGGTGTAAGGACTGGTGGTGGAAAGTGCCATTAAGTTGCAGGCATTTTATGGCAACCCTGTAGCATTTTAAAGGCAAGAGATGGTCACAGGTGGTTTGCCATTGCCTGGCTCTGCGTAGCAATCCTGGTACTCCTCAGTGGTCTCCCATCCAAGCAGTAAGCAGGGTCGACACTGATTACCTTTGGTGGGCCATCCAGGGCAAGGATTACTGAGGCACAACAGTTTGGGTATGGCATGATTTGGAGCAACAGAAGCAGTGGGGGGTAGAGTAAACATTTAAGCCTTTCCAGTTTGATGTCCTTTCCTATCGAGCCAGTCTGGTGTAGTGGGAGAGCCAGTTTGGTGTAGTGGTTAGGAACGCGGACTCTAATCTTGGAGAACCGGGTTTGATCGCCCACTCCTCCACAGCTGCTGGTGTGACCTTGGATCAGTCATAAGTTCTTTTGGAGCTGTTCCCTCAAGAGCAGTTCTCTCAGAGCACTCTCAGCCCCACCTACCTCACAGAGTGTCTGTTGTGGGAGGGGAGGGAGGGAGATTGTAAGCCGCTCTGAGACTCCTTCGGGTAGTGACAAGCGGGGTATAAATCCAATCTCTTCTTCTCCTCCTCCAAACTGTCTCTTACAGAAACTGCTTTTTAAAAGAAAGCCGTAGCCATCTGGTTTCTGTTGCATGCATTTACATGTAATGTGTTCTTAGGTTCTGATGTAGGATATATTAATTTGAACACTGGCAAATATGCTTTGCAGATGCTGTGTATTATTGTTTGGGGGGACTGCATATGGTCACAGTATTGCGTGCATTTGAGATATGATCCAAAGTGTTTCTACTCACCCATCAAGGATGGTAATCTTGACTAGATCACACATGGAAGGCATCTGCAAAGGAAAGACATCCCAATCAGGAAAACACTCTGCCTCTGTGGTCCAAGATACCCTGCACCATCTAAATATGCATTTAAAAGGCAAACCCCAGGATTCTGTCACATTCTCACATGAGCAACTGACAAAACCAAAGTCCAGGCTTTGCAACAAGCAGATTTCATTCTGTATCTCCCCCATTAAGGTCCTTTACGGACGAAGTGGGTTTAGCCTCTACCTCAAGCATGCTCCTCCCACTGTTGAATATTGCTGCTCACCTGGATAGGAAAGGACACCATCTGGTTCCATGCAGGGTTGGCACTTCCAAATACAACTCTGGTCCGGAGCTGAGCATGTTGTTGAAGAAGGGAGATAAATACAGATCAGCCACATTGTTCAGCCTAGCTTTCACTATACCCTGGTGCTAAATAGAGGACAACAAGGAGAAGTGATATGTCCTTTCTACTTGACTAAGGTCTGATTTAAACATGATGCTAGTGAGACAGAGGAACATTCACATGCAACACTGTACACATCCAACCCCTCATATAAACTGGACCCTTGAGCCATATTGCAATGTGAGAGATCTGTAGCCCAAGCAGGCATTATTTTTTAATACTCATGTTGCATTCCTAGTGGGACTGCATATGAAGCTGCCCAGTTGAGAATCACAGGCTATGATTTCCAAGTAGATATGAGCTTTAGCACCACCACTCAGTGAAACACTGCTCCAAAGAGAGATGGTGGTGGTGGAAAGAAGCCAGAACCCCAGCAAGACAGGCGTTTCTCCTCTCACAGACACACACGATCTCAGCATAGTTCTCCTTGTAACACTGGCTCCTTGGCTATCTGGTCAGCTCCAGGTTCTGCAGAAGCATTTGCAGCTTAGAGATAATTAGAACAATTATATAATGAAACCACCTCTAAATCATATCTCTTTACTTCCAAAACATTGAAAAGGGCTCCAGAAAAAAAAGGAAACTATTTTCCTGTTTTTGTTCAATCCCATAAGAATGCAGCTTCCCAACACTTCCCTCATAAATAGGGTTGCCAACTCTTGGTTGGGAAATTCCTGGAGAACTGGGGTGAAGCCTAGGAAGGCAGGGCTTGGGGAGGGGAAGAACCTCAGTGGGGATCAATGCTCCCTCTAAGCCGTGGAGTCTTGTGAGCAAAAATCCTACTTTGTGAGCTGCTGGCATTAAAGCTGTGAGGGATTTGCTCTGGAGCCGTTCTCCCTGAGCTAAGACAAAAATCTGTGAGCCAGAGGCTAAAAAACTGTAAGCTAGCTCACACTAACTCATCTTAGAGGAAACACTGGTGGGGATGTGACGCCATAGAATCTACCCACCAAAGCAGCCATTTTCTCCTAGGGAATTGATCTCTGTTGTCTGGAGATCAGTTGTAATTCTGGGAGAGGTTGTCCACTCTGCTCATAAGCCAGGCTTGTAAACAGCTGTTTGGTTAATCATTTGTGATGCGTATGAATTAACTTCACTAATCAGGCATGGGAGCGTTACAAAACATGGCTCTTTCATAGCACAAGTGAATATTGTTGAGATGTGTAGACACGTGGCCTAGTAATTTATGCAAGATTGCAACAAACTTTTATTTATGACATTCATTCATTCATTGGGTTTCCACTCTACTTAGACATGGCTGTTTAGTTTCCTGAAATTCAGAGCTTCATTGCACTTACTGTTTTCCCTGCAAAGTTAACTTCCACAGAAGGGTCAACAAGATCCTCTCCATCACTGAGCGCCTCATCTTTTTTTCTGAAATAATTAATGTTGCCTCGGTCCACTGAAGAAGAAATCAAGCAGCAGTTTGCTTAAATAGCCCATTTTACAGAGGTGACTAGGACTGAAAGTCACTGGCTGCCTGATGACACCCGAAGCTATCACAGCCGAGTAGGGATATGAATGCAGCTCTGTACCCATGCTCTGTCTTCTGACAGGAACATCACGTACATCATTTAGGCAAAAAGAACTGAGCCCTCTTACCCACATGGCTAAAAAAAAGTGCCAGCCCAGCCAGTTTTTGCTCTCTTAGCCAGTTCCCCTAATTGTTTGTACGTCGAAGCAGTTTGGGCCAGAAGCCAGATTTATGGTTTCAGAAAATCTAGATGTCCAGTAGACTTGCCAGCTCTCACTTGCAAAATACCTGGAGATTTGGAAGGTGGAGTCTGAGGAGGGCTGAATTTGGGGAGGGGAGGGAACTCAGTGGGGTACAATGCCATAGAATACACCATACAAAGCAGCCATTTTCTCCAGGGGAGCTGATATTGGTTGTCTGGAGATCAATTGTAATAGTGGGAGATCTCCAGGTGTCACCTGGAGGTTGGCAGCTCTAATGACCAGGGTAGTGGTGGTGATGGTGGTGGTGGTTGTTAGCCATATCATTTTATTTATTTATTTATTAAATTATTGGATTTCTATACCGCCCTCCCAAAGGCTCAGGGCGGTTCACAGGTGGCCACTTACTGAGCATGTGTGAACTGTGCTGTCCATGCATCTTTACTTAATATGCCAGGCCACAGAGCTCAACACCAGCACCAAGCTCAAAGTGGTTCCTCAATAACCCCCTCTTCCAGTACATACTAAACCACAGGACGGAACAGAATGAGTTTGTGTTAGCCTCATTCTGCTGACCTCTGGAACCGCCAGGCTGTCACACACCCTAGTCGTGCAAGGGTACCAGAATGTCTGAAATCTGGCAACATAACTTTCTCCTGCACATCTGTGATCCTCAGGAAGTTCTTATAGGTCCAACATCACAAATTACAAGCTCCGGCTGTTCTATGATCTCTATCCCAGGTGAGTTTTTTCTCTTTTTAAAAAATCACATGTTTGGGCCCCTCAATTCCAACTGGGACTGCAGCTTGGGGAGGTTATTAAGTCTTCCTTCCTGTTCCACTTTTAGGGTTGCCAACATTGGGTTGGGAAACTCCTGGATATTTGGGAGTGGAACATGGGGAGGGTGGGAGTGGAACTCAGTGGAGTATACTGCTGTACAGTCCCACCTTTCAAAGCAGCCAGTTTCTCCAGGGGAACTGATCTCTGTAGATAGGAGATCAATTGTAATTACAGGAGATCTCCAGGCTCCACCTGGAGGGGGGCAGTCCTAGGTATGAAACAGTCCTGGTGAGTCATTATTGCTCCACTGGACCAAACATACATACAAACACCTGCACCATGTCGCCACAAGGCAGAAGAGAGATATGTTGGCCCTCAATATTTAGGATTGCAACAGACTCCAAAGGGATGTAAAACAAATATGCAGCACTTCCCTTTCTAGCCGGGGCTACTTCAGGTATTTTTCTACAGTAACAGGGTTTCTTGTTCTGTTGCATGTGTGTGCTTTTAAAATTGAAGGTTTCATTAAAAGGATAGTGGGTTCCTGCACCTACCTCTGAGCTCATGGGCCTTTGGCAATGCTCTCGTCCTAGGGGGAGACTGATTACAGCTGTTTCACAGAGTGAAAGGCAGTCCAGTCCCTATGAGGGATCACTACCTACATAACATCCACTACCTGTATTCAGTGTTCTTAAAGTGCCCGCAGGTTGAACAGGGTCGCAGACATCTGTCCTAAATCAAGCTAGTTGTATAAGATTTTGTATTGTTTAAGAAAGCCTGTTTTACAAAGCTGCTGGACAAATGAATAGCGGACGCACCCCATGGCAATCGAAAACAGCAAGAGTCCAGTAGCACCTTAAAGACTAACAAAATTTGTGGCAGGGTATAAGCTTTCATGAGTCACTGCTCACTTCTTCACCCTATCGGTGAGCAAAGCATTTTTTAAAAATGATGAGACATAATCACTAAACGGTTCTCTGGTGCAAATATTTGGGTTTGGTATGTCCAGAACTCCCCTCGCCATGACAGAAAACCTACTGTTGATCTGTGACCCTTACTTTGAGGAATATCTTCTGCTTGGTAGATCGAGACCTGGAGGGTGGCCATACGTGACGGCACTGCTGCAGACTTGAGAATATTGTCCTCTCCATCTTGGTCCTCCTTTATCTTGTTTGCATCCTATGGAGAGGGAGGAAAAGAAGATCTGTGAGCAGGATGGTCGTAGCTCTGCCCTCACAAATCTTTCTTGAGAAATGCACATGAATTTTCATTTCCAACATCTTTTCCATGTGCATTTCTGAGGCAATGTTAAAAAACAAGCAACCTGTGGAAGCACAAGATACTATGTCTGAATCAGCCCAAAGTATTGCAAAGAATGCTATGAGGTCCATTTCCACTACAAACAACAACAACACTGGTTTAGCATGCATTCCTTCTCCTGAGGCAACCCTAGAAATTGAACTTCTGTGAGGAAGGATCAGAGATCTCCAACAGCCCCTTTTTTGGCTTGCTTTAAATGAGATGCTGACTATGGCAAAAGTGGTCTTGTGAATGACTTTGCACTTGTCTGGCCCTCTCATTGAAATTGGGCAGCTGCCTGTGCCAAACAGCTATGTGGCATGCATGTAGCAGCTTTTAAACTGGGTAGCAGCCCAGTTTAAGCAACTGGTAGCATGAGTTCACAGTCTCATGGGAGACTGATTTTGTCCCAGACAGCTAGCATCACATTTAAATCAGGCCTTCCCTTACTTTATTGGCAGCGCAGCTCCTTCCCATCCTACTAGGGAACCCAACATATGGTACCCATGGGAACCATGGCACCTGCCAGTACTTTCCCTGGTGCCTGCCAAGTGTTTTTAGAAAGTGGGTGGGGCCAGATGGGTATTTGCTGAGCAGGAGAAGAGTTACTATTAGCATTACACATCATCTCACTGTCCCTGACATTGTGTAGTTGGCTCCACCTCCTGCAGCAGCCATTTTGTAGTTGAGCTTTCAGAATTCCGAAGGTGCCTGCAGCCTCATATAGGTTGGGGACTCCTGCACTGGATCTACTAGGCCTTGTGGAAGCTGCGTCTCACATTACTAAAGTGTAGGGTTCCCAAGTCCATCTTCCTCCCCCAGCGGGGGAGCCCCCCACCCGCCCGTGCACCAGATCTCCAGAAATGGCAGTTTCCTGCACTTAAAGGAGCCGGCGTTTCCCTTTTAAATGCAGGAGCTGGCGTTTCCCCTTTAAGAGCAGCCGTGTTTCCCTTTTAAGAGCACAAAGCTGGCATTTCCCTGCAAGCTTGCGGAGATCAGGCTTGGGAGGAAACACAGGTTCCATACACTTAAAGGGAGAGAGATGGGTGGCTGTGGGTGTTGGGGGTGGGGCTTCCCCACCCCCACCCCCCAAAAATGGGGGACCCCTGGCAAACCGGGGGGTTTGGCAACCCTACTAAAGTGGTGTGTGAACAAGTTGCTGCAGCTTCCATGTGGAAGAACTTAAGGACAGCATGTCCCTGAATCCATTTTTTTCTCAAACACTACCAAAGAAGGCTGTGGAATCTACTTCTTGTTCAGCTTCTTCCGCTGAGTTTATAGTTAGGAGAGAGGCCTCCCAGCAATCAAATCAGGTTGCCAGCCTCCAGGTGGGGCCTAGAGATCTCCCAGAATTACAGCTGATCTTCAGATGACAGAGATCACTTCCCCTGGAGAAAATGGCAGCTTCAGAGAGCAGATTCTATGGAATTATACCTTGTTGAGGTCCCTCCCCTTCCCAAACCCCACCTTCCCCAGGTTCTATCCTCAAATCTCTAGGAATTTACCAACCCAGAGATGGCAACCCTACAATTAAAACTTAGTGCTTCTTGTCCTGTCTGTAACTGATAAGGTCAAGAGTTTAGGGATGCCAGACCCTCTGGTGGGGATGGGGGTCCCCTGCTCCCAGGCCCCACCTCTTCATTGTTGATCAGCTGCATGGGGAGGATATCCCCCAAAGAAGGGAGGAACACCCGACATTTCAGTGATGTGCCTATGTGACTTCAACATGACCTGGAAGTGACATAGACACATTGGGATGATGCTCTGGTTTTTGGGCAAAAACTCTATGGTAGAAGGTAATTCTACCACAGAGCTTTTGCCGAAAAACCAGAGCATTGTCATGATATCCTTGACGTGCCTATGCCACTTCTGGGTCACACTGGAAGTCATGTGGGCATGTTGCTGAAACATGCGAAGAAACTCCCAGCTCCCGGTAAGTTCACCCCTCATCCCCCCACTGGCTGCCCAAAGGGACATGGCAACCCTACAAGAGTTGCAGGTGGTCATTTCTATACTTTCCCAACTGTATACCCAGGAGGCACTGGGACAAGTTAACAATAGCTTTAAAAAGGCTCTTGCTGGAATTCCGTGTCTCCCAACTCAGACAGACTGTTCCTGCTCAAAGCTGCTGTACACAAAAAACACATACTGGCTAGAATCCCGATTTTCTGATTTTCTGCTCACCTCCTTTCAAGCATTCAATGGCTGAATATACTTTTTCTGTAATAGGCTGCAGCCCCTGAGCCAATGAGAAGCTCCCAGAATAGCAACTCAGCCTGGCTTAGGGCGATTCTGCATTGGCTTTTCCCTCCATTGTTATACCAAACCCATGTTGGAACAGAAATTCCCCTCTGCAGTGTATGCTGCTGTCACATTCTTTGATCACAGGATTTTATTGTACCCTCTAGACTGCATGCTGTTTTCAGTTTCTTTGATCATTGGGTTTTATGGTATCTTCTGCATAGATTTATGGCTGTTCAGGGGTGACTTTGCAGTCAGTACAGCGTTGCCCCCGGCGTATTTGAATGTGGTTTTGAGCTGCACCTTTTCTGTTCCAACGTGGGTTTGGTAAAACAACGGAGGGAAAAGCCAATGCAGAATCAGACCTAGTTTGCTATCCTTGCCAAGTCTCAGAGCAAGTCAATATCAATTTTTTTAGCTATCATCTTGAAAACATATTTAATTCTTCCATATGGAAACATTGCATCACTCTCTTTAATAGGAGAGGATGTTCCCATGCTGATTAGTAAAGCAACAAAACAGGGGGAAACTTCCTGCATAGCCTTGGCAATTCCTGGATACATTAAAAATAAAAGCATACTATATTAGATGCATATAGTATTGGGTGGGTTCAGTTAGCTCCTATTGTTTAATAAAGGGGCAGGAAAAATTTCACCCTTTCCCTGCAATTCCTCGTGATTTTAATAATTGTCAACTCTTATTACATGAACTTCTATGCTCATTTTGTGACTCTGGCCAGAAGCTGAAAGGTGTAGTAAAGTTGAGATTTTACCGGTGCGTGGTCCCCGGCTCCCAGGACACACAGGTTGACTTTCACATAGCCCTTTAGCCCAGCATTCAGGTTATCAGGGTCATAGAGACTCAGCCATTTGGAGTACAATACATGACCTAGGACAACAAAATAACAGGAGCCAGTATTCATAAAACCCTGAGTGACCATTTACCTTCTATATCAATGGGCTGATAATGGAATCGTTGGGTGACAGGATCACAGGAATGTTTTCTTACAATGTAAAGTAGCAACTGATCTGGGTTAGTTCTTCCCCCAGCTCCATCACACATGCAGGGAGTAGCAACCATAAAATATCAAGCTGTTAAATATGAAATATTAGGGCTGAGCTGAAATTTCTCAGTTTCCTACAAAAATGTTGGCAGTGTTGAAAAATACCAACCTTTTGAAACTACTTTTTTTGGGGGGGGGGGGAACTTCTTGGGAAGACATTTACCTGCCGGCTTTCATTTCCCACACCTGCAATTGTTTTCTACTGTTATTAGTGATATCATCATGCAGTGAAAGTGGGTGGATTATCCGGGCGCGATCACACCCCAACATCCGGGCGCGATCACACCCCAACATCTGGGAAGTGGAGCACACCCGTGGCTTACTGCCGACAATGTGCGTTAAAAAAGTAGTACCTCCAAGGTACTAGTAAACGTTTGCCACGGGCTGCCTCCAGATGCCCGTGGTGTGATCGTGCCGGCGCGCAGCATTCCCCTCTGGTCCCTCGTTTACCCACCGGCACCGAGGGAAGGACCCGTGGTGAGCTGCCGGCGCGTCTGATCACGTAATCACGAATCAAACTGCGCCGGGGCAATTAGCCATGCCTTCCCCCCACGATATCCAGCCCGTGTCACTGGGGCCATAGTAGGGTAGCAATAGCACCTCAGCAACTCTGTGATCCCTAATAGGTTGGGAATCTCTCATCTGACTGATACAGATAATAGGAAAAGCAGCAACCAACGAGAACAAAGTACAAGGAAGAGGACTGAACACAAAAACCTTTGCACCAAGTAGTTTTTGAGAAAATGTCTTTAATTGCTATTATTAACCTGAAAATTGAAACTGGTGGATATTTAGCACAGTCCTGCTAAATATTTTTACAAATAAAATAATACTGTCATATTTGAAATCAAATCTAACGAGATATCAAATATTCAGTGAATGTTCACATTCAAGCAATCATAAGATAACTTGAGAGGCAAATTTGGAGGAGCAAGTTTGTTTCCCATCTATTAGGGAAGATGTATGCGGCTGTTGGTAGCATTTGCTTGTGGATTATAAGCAATGGAATTAACTGGAATCATTTTAAGGCAACAGCTGTGCTCCGGCTGTGTGGAAAGGTGCCAGTGCTCAGCTAGGACAACTGGCCTCTGTGACATCAATAGAGCTGGAATTCCTGGCAAGGAATTCTAACAGCCTACTCACTGGTGTCCATGTGACAGGCCCCAGAAGTATAACAAGAACAGGTGCAAGGTACTCTGTGTAGGTATCTCAGATTGAGATTCCCAGCAATCAGACTCCAGAGCTGTACCATCAGTGCCCTGTTGCCATCCAAGCCTAACAACTCAGTTCTGTGCTTCAAGGACACCTCTTAGGCTACAGCACCAGCAGTGCTACTGACATAGCATTCAGTCAGCTGACTCCAATGGCCCAATCCCTTCCCACCAGGCACTATAAAGCCCCAGCCTCTGAGCTTGCCTCTCAGTCTGAGCAATTTGTCCCTGCAAAGATTACTGTGCCTGGCTAGACCCCTTCCCCTTCTGAATATTTGATCTTCTGCCAGCTCTAGATGACATCACTTGCTTCTGTCCCCTTGATTCCTCTCCTTTGGATACCTGACCCTCAATTGCCCTGGACTGTGCTACCTGCCTCTGGCCCTGGGGGACTAATAGCTGGCTCCCCCAGGATTCTGACTGTTTGGAACCTGACCCTGATGCAATCCTCGCAAAAGGTGCAGAATTTGCATCAAAATCCACCTGAGATACTGCTAATTAAATGGTTGGTTTTGTTTTCAATAGAGAATAGCTGTTTGCAAAATGGTAGATGAGAAGCCAAATTTCAGTTTGCTCAGGGCAGCTGGAAAGGCGGAGTGGCGTGATTGTAGCTTCTCAGGAACTGAGAGCTGATTCACACATTACCAAGTGCACATGGCAGATATGTGGCTGTCAAAAGGATTTGGAGTCAGATGTGTACCTGGAGTTTGGTGCTGGGAGCTCAAGTGCATAGGAGCCTGATTTCAATTCGGATTATGACATGCAAGGCAAAAGGATTTCTACATTCCTTCCTGGTAAGGTGGTGATAGCAGTGATTCTGTGGCCCCACCCTGGACTCTTGCCCTGGGCAGGAGAAAAACAGAGACCTGTGGCACTGATTGGTGGCAGGTTTGATGTGTGACAGTTTCTGGACTTAAGCAATCTATTGGATCTGTGAGGGCATGAAGCAGTACTATTTAAGATCCACAGCTGTCCACAGGTGCCCATTCAGTGTGTGTGTGTGTGTGTGTACGGAATTGGTATCCTGCCTTGCACAAAGTATAGTTAGTAATGGGGCCTGACAGTCTAGGTAACAAGTTTAAGTGCTGCTGGAGGCTGCACTACTTAACCTGGAGCTTCATACACCAGCCCGATCTCAATCTGCAAAGACAGAAATAGTAAATATTGTTGGAAATGTCAAAGGAGGGAGGACTAGAGCTCTTGAAATGACATTGCAAAGAAATATGAAACTGGTAGATCTCCAGACTTTGAAATGAATGGAACATTTTAAATAACTGGCACTAAATCCAAACATTCAACCTTTTTTCATTGCCCAGGTTAGCCCGGGCTGATTCTGCATTGGCTTTTCCCTCCATTGTTTTACAAAACCCACATTGGAACAGAAATTCCCCTCTGCATTGCAAGCTGATTTCACTCCCTTTGATTATCAGGATTTATGGTCGTGTCCATACTCAAGTTCTTTGATCCTCAGATTTGTACCTTCTGCATAGATTTATGGCCATTTTATGGCCATTCAGGGGTGACTCTGCAGTCAGTATGGCATTGCCCCAAGGTATTTGGATTTGGTTTTGAGCTGTACTTTCCCCTCCCAGTTAAGAAAATATGAAGCAAATGCTAGATGCAGAATTGCCCACCCCCGATCTCATCAGACCTTGGAAGCTTAGCAGGGCTGGCCCTGGTTAGTACTTGTATTGGGAGACCATCAAGGAAGTCCAGGATTTCTGCATAGAAGCAGGTAATGGCAAACCACATCCATTAATCTCTTGCCTTGAAAACCCTCCAGGGGTCAGCCTAAGTCAGCTGCAACAGAATGGCACTTTCTGTTACCAACCAATTCAAGTAATATTTCTGACAGGTTGCGCAGGAAACAAAGTTCACTTAAATGCAGTATTTAAGTAAATGCATGCTCATGGGCAGTATTTATTTACAACAGTAAGTTGCCCTTTTATTTTATCACATTTATTTATTTAGAATTTTTACACTCTGCTTTATCTCCTGGCACTAAAGATGGCTAGGTAAAAGGTAAAGGTAAAGGTTCCCTTGCTCGAAAGCCAGTCGAATCCGACTCTAGGGTTGTGGTGCTCATCTCCGTTTCAAAGCCGAAGAGCCAGCGCTGTCCAAAGACGTTTTCGTGGTCATGTGGCCGGCATGACTAAACACCAAGGCGCATGGAACGCTGTTACCTTCCCACCAAAGTGGTACCTATTTATCTACTTGCAATTTCTTGCTTTCGAACTGCTAGGTTGGCAGGAGCTGGAACTAGAGACAGGAGCTCACCCCGTCTTGCGGCACCTGGGTCTTGAACTGCTGAACTACTGACCTTCCACAGCCTGCAGTTCAGCATCTTAACCACTTGAGCCACCACAGCTCTAAAGATGGCTAACAAAGCAGCAAAAGCTGCAAGAACACAAAATCATCATAAACGTCTGGAAGCAAGTTAAAAACAATTCCACAGGGCTCGTGCTGGGGGATTTTGGTCCCCATGCCCTGCCTGTAGACCTTTTGGGGGCACCTTGTTGGTCACTGTGACACATGGGAGGCTTGACTACGTGGAGTGACCTGACCCAGTCTGGCTCTCGTGCTCTTATGTTGCTGTGCTCCCCCCCTGAGAATTCTGTAAAGTGCAAGCCTTCTCTCCCTCTTTTGTTATAATGATGGGCATTTAGTCTGTTCAAGGATTTTTAAAAACCCTATATTTTTGTGCTAATTAGAAAGTAAGCATTATTAGACTAACGGTTACAGTGAGTTTGGTTCCTGCCCATAGCACCTCTTTATCAGGCTGATAATCTGGTGTGGTGGGTAGGCAGCCTGAAACGTAAGACCAAAGTGAAGAATTTTATTTTCCTCGTCTACAAGCCCAATGTAATTCACCTTCAAACACAGTGTGGACATCTGGCCCACTGTGGTAGCCAAGGCTTTATCATCAAGGCAATACAATTGACACTTTCACACACACTAAATAACACACTTTCAATCCACTTTGCAAGTGGATTTTACTGTGTGAAATGGCAAAATCCACGTGCAAACGGTGGCTGAAGTGGATTGAAACTGCATCGTTTAGCATGTGCGAAAGTGCCTAATGTCAGTTAGCTTCCTAATTCTGCCCCTCCATCAACATCAGCTAAAGCAGCAGCTTCTCACCTTGAAGACACCAATGAGAGAATCAGCTCGCAGTGCCCTTGAGTTCAGCACCTATATAAAATATGTGTATATAAAAACCAAACCAGAACTCAGAACTAGACTGTTTCATATTTCTTTGTTAGTGGGAGCATGAAAAAGCAACAACTGTAAAAGCAACAACATTACATGAGAGAATTTATTGGTGATATCACTTCTGCAGCAGTTCACATCTCGTTTTCTGTACTGCCAGAGGTATGCTGGAACTATGATAGGGCAAGTCTGTATCAAGATCTGGAGAATGTGTGGTCCACATAGCTACCTCTGATAGCAGGAACAGAGTGGCTACCGAGACAGGAATCTCATGTTGTGTTTTTCTTTCTCTTCCTAGATCCTGTCATTCTGCTTACCATTGTCACCTTGTGCATTTCCTGAGCCCCGCATCATACCCCTGGCTGCTGCTAGTGGTTGTTGTCAGGGTGTGAGGAAAGTATGCACCATCATGTAACAAGTAAGCAAGTAACCGAATAGATGGTTAGCCTACAAACTTCGTAAAGAAAGAAAAAAACGCATCATTACAAAATTAAAAGATGAAAAAGGAGAAGAAAAATGTAACATGCAAGAAATTAAAAATATAGTGGAAGGGTATTATAAAGAGCTCTACTACCAAGAAACACAGGAGGAAAGAAAAATTAAACAATACTTGGAAGATAACATTTATACTAAATTTAATGACCAACATAAGGAGATTTTAAATGTGCCAATTACAATGTGCAAGGTGGTAGAAGCAATTAAGAGACAAAAAAGGAAAAAAACACCGGGTCCAGATTGTATCTCGGTGGAATTTTACCAGATATTTCAAGAGCAGATAGACGTACCACTAAAAGACCTGTTCCACAAAATTGGAAAATCAGAAAGGATACCAGACTCTTGGAACCAGGCTTTGATTACTTTAATATCAAAACCAAATTCGGATGGATGCGAAATTAATTTTTTTTTAAGCTATATCTCTTTTAAATGCAGATTATAAAATCTTTGCTAATATTTTAGCAAATAGGCTGAAAAAAGTACTAGCCCAAATAATACACCAGGACCAAATGGGATTTCTGCCAAAGAGACAAATAAAAAATAATATACGTATAGTCATTGACACGCTGGAATATTATGAGTCACATTCTGAAAAAGAAGCCATATTATTGTTCCTCGACGCAGAAAAAACATTCGATAACTTATCATGGAACTTTTTACTACAGAAATTAGATATAGCAGATTGTGGGAGTCATTTTTGGAAGATGATAAAGGCAATATATTCCACACAATATGCCCAAATTCTAGTAAATGGGGATTTAACAAATAATATAAAAAATCAAAAGGGCTCTCGGCAAGGGTGTCCACTATCACCACTACTATTTATTTTCGCTTTAGAATCTCTAAACAGTTCAATAAGAAACAATGATAGGATAAATGGTTTAAAAGTAAAAGGAGAAGAATTCAAGCTTCTATCCTTTGCGGACGACCTGTTATTTATTGTGGAGAATCCTCAAAAATCTATCAATGTGTCGATGGACACAATTACAGCTTATGGCCAAGTAGCAGGTCTTAAGATAAATTTTAAGAAAACAAAATTGTTATGTAAAAATTGTACTACTGAGACTATTCAAGAAATTTGCAAAATAACAACTATGGAGACAACAAAAAAGGTGAAATATTTGGGAGTTTATCTAACCAATAGAGTTAGCTCACTAGTAGAAGATAACTATCATAAATTAGTAGAAGACATTAAGAAAGATCTGTCAAGATGGAAAGATTTACCTTTGTCATTTATGGGTAGAATTGCAATAATTAAGATGAACATACTTCCTAGATTTCTATTCTTGGCTCAAAATATTCCCATATTGAAGAACCTGAAAATTCTTACAGAGTTAGATAGGATTACAAGAAAGTTTATATGGCAGCCTAAAAAATCAAGAATTAAGTGGAAAGTTCTCCAAGATAAAAAAGAAAAAGGAGGGATGAAAGTACCAAATTGGATACTACATTACCAGACCTATGCTTTAACAAGGATAAGAGAATGGATTTTGCTAGAAGATGTAAAAACGTTGGTATTAGAGGGTCATGATCTCTATATGGGCTGGCATTCGTACATATGGTATGAGAAAGAGAAAGTACACTCAATATTTAACCAGCATATATTGAGGGGAGCTCTAAATAAAATCTGGACTGAAGTTAAAGAGAGATTTTACAGGAAAATGCCAAGATGGGTAGCTTCGTTGGAAGCTTTTGTAAAACCCTCGCTTCTGACAAAAGATAAAAAAGCCATTTATAACATGTTATTAGAAAGAAATAACGATTTAAAAACAGAAGAAAAACTGTTACGTGAATATAAAATTAATTTAACATGGTGGGAGCGTACATTACTGCGAGATAGGTATGGTAAAGACAAACTAAAAGGTTTCGAAGATAATAATAACCAACTTGACAAGATCTGGTTATCATCCAGTGATAAGTTAATTCAAAAACTTTATAGATTTCTATGAGAAGATTATGAACTGGATGAAAATATCAAAGCAGTTATGATTTCCTGGATGCAGGATATGGGGAAAGAGCTGGAATTTGAACAATGGGATATAATATGGAAAACCACAAAATTTATGAGAGCAATTTCCTACAAAGAAAATATCTATAAAATGTTCCATAGATGGTATTGGTCCCCAGATAAAATCGCAAAATGTTATGTACAGACATCCAATAAATGTTGGAAATGCAAATCTAATGTGGGGACCTTTTACCACATGTGGTGAAAATGTAGTAAAATGCAAAAGTTTTGGAAAATGGTACATGATATTATTCTTGAAATATTAAATCTTGATGTTTTGTTAGTATCGGAAATTTATCTACTAAATATAATTCCAAAAGATTATGTTAAACAAGATGTATATCTATTAGTATATATCATAACAGCTGCGAGAATATTAGTGGCAAAAAATTGGAAAATGGACAAAACACCCTTAAAAGAGGACCTAATAGTAAAACTCTTAGAGTTAGCGCAAATGGATAACTTGAGTTTAATACTGCAGGATAAAGACCAAAAAATACAGGATAAAAGATGGTTAAGGGTTTATAACTGGATAAAGCATGTTAAAATATGATAAGAAATGGAATAGGAAAATTAATCACCATTTGATATAAAACATGTAATGTGATGCAATGACTCTAAAAAGATATGTAATCGGAGATAATGAAATGTTTGTAATTAGATTGAAATACGGGAAAATAAAGTGTTAAAAATGTAACAAGTAAGCATAACTGCATTCAAAGAGATGGAGTGACACAGGAAAGCCATCTTTCTGTCTGATGTAAAATGTGCAGTTTGGCTCATACACACATATAGAGGCCTAGGTGTCTTTCAGCGCCTGAACAGAAGGATTGTACCATTATTTTGCTTGTTAGCACTTGAGATTTCCTAACAAATGAAAGAAAGCCACTGTGTCAAGAGCTGCCAGAGATCCTATGGCCCATCATGGCAAGCCACTAAGCAATGTGGTTGTTGGGTTTTCAGGGGTGCAATGTCTTCCTGGACTGCATTCAGGCAACTCATTAGTTTCCCCTGACCTGGAAGGGCTATAATAGCTTCCAGGTCAGGCATGGACTTTGCTGGGGCATCAGTCAGCCATGATTTGGCCCTCCTGCATGGTATCCCTGACTCTTGTTGCCTTGGGGGTAGTCATGTCCATCTATTGTAGGAAAATATAACAGAAGCAATGCTCCCTCTAAGCTGTGGAGTCTTGTGAGCAAGAATTCTACTTTGTGAGCTAGGGGCATTAAAGTTGTGAGCAAGCGATTTGGCTACTGCATAAATTAGTTTGCTCTAGAGCCATCCTTCCTGAGCTAAGGCAAAAATGGGTGAGGTGGAGGCTAAAAAACTGTGAGCTAGCTCACACTAACTCAGCTTAGATGGAACACTGAACAGAAGTCCTGAAAGATTAACATTTATTCCTGCCTAAGATCACTTCTTTAGATGCAATGCAGAGGAAATTGTATTTCACATCTGTAAAACAACATCTGTCAAACCCTACACCAAAGGATAAATGGACACAAATCTGACATCAAGAATTAACAAGACTTCAACCTTCCAGGACATTCAATGGGTGACCTCAAAGTAGCTGTTATATTGCAAAGGAACTTCAGGAACAGACTAGGAAGGGAAAATGCTGAGTTACAAGTTATTGCAACACTTGGAACAATGGTACCCCCAGGACTTAACAGGGATATTGGTTTCTTATCTTACTACCTATGCTAATAAAGTTTAATTCTGGGTATAATTTTTCATGTACATGCACACTAAAGCTTATACCCAGAATTAAATTTTGTTGCTCTTAAAGATGCCACTGGACTCATTATTCTATTGCTTCAGACCAATGTGACTATCCACTTGAATCTACATAGGCTAACCTCATTCAGTCCTTACATCTGTATACTCATCAAGAAGGGCTATACATCCTCTTTATTTTATTTCTTATTTGGAACAGTAGATTGGAATAGTGATTGTAATGGAAAATCTGACTTCTCCCATCATCCATTATGTGTAAAACCTAATCTATTCCAGTCCTCTACACGGAGAATCACACCTGAAAGATTTATGACAGGACTCATACCAGTTCTCTCCCTGTTCCCACCCCCCCTCCCCCTTTGGTAACTGGAATATGATTTCCTTTTCATAGCATCTGAAAAACTGTGCTCTAACACAAGAAAACTCATGACGGAATAAATGTTTTTAGTTTTTAAGGTGCTACTGGACTTCTGTTTTATCTTGTTCCCTTGCCTGCTGCATTCCCTTCAGATCTTGGTCCCAGTGTTTCTGGCTTTCTTCTCTCCACCCTGTTAGTTCTCTAGAGGCTCTTATGACCAAGCATCACAATGCTTCTTTGTTATGTAAAAACAGAGAATCATAAGGCTACATAAAAGCATTCCAGTGTAAATGGAGGGCAAAACAGCTGATGTCTCTTGTTTACCTGTATGACTATGAATTCCTCAAATAGTTGAGAGGGCATCTCCTGGAAATTCTGTACAAACATCTGAGAAAAACCAACAAAGTGAACCAAGCTAAGTATTTGGTAATAACTCTTCAGGGAAAACAATAATGTACAGTTATCATTACTTATGCCAGCAACTAATTACAGAAGTTTTAGTTGATTAATCAGCCCTTGCGTATTAGCTCAAATGTCAACATACGTTCAGTTCAAATGCCTTTTTGAGTAACTGAAGAAAATGGGAGGAAAATTACCACTTATTGTTAGTAGCAAAGATAATCTTTAACATTTTCTTTTTAGTTTCTTCTTACAGTAAAGCACCACAGCTAAAACAGTCTAAATAACAGATACAGCCTCTGATTAAAACTGCCCACCCCCAAAACAGAAACTCTCAAATTAAAACTGACCTCCCCAAATAATCAACTAAATTTTTAGCAGATTAATCTAACCAATTAAAACTTTCCATTCAAATTTATACTGAGTTGAGCAATTGGTCTACTTTACCCAATATTGCCTAACAGAGATTACTGTGAAAACCTCTGATGATGGATTTTGTGACTGAATATTGTCATCCTGTCCCCCATCATCTCCCAGTCAGTTTGTCAGATCAAAACCCAATCTTTAGTAAAAGGCGAAAGATTTATATGATCTGAAGAGAAACCAATCTGTGAAAGTTCTGAAGAGCAATCCAAAAGCTTTTGCCCTTTGTTTTTCCCCCACCAGCAGTCTCCACGAATCAAAGGGGGAAAGGAGGAATGTTCATTCTTTACTCCCTGAAGTATCACAAAATTTCATTTAAATGAAACCCCAGGAGTAAATGAATCCCAATCTGGACAGAACTGGGGGGAAACTGCTCATCCCAGCTATCTGCTGTGATTGGCAGCAGATCCCCGAGGTTTCTTTTTCAGTCCTGCTGCATGACTTAGGGGCCCCTCTCTTCTTTCCTAGGACTCAGATTTACTGATCCAGAAGCTGCTTGCAGTATGGACTAGTCAGTCCTGTCACTCAGTTGATTTGTGTGGGGCCAGTAGAAGCAAGACCTTCCCTTCCTCTTACCCTTCAGTGAAACCCCCCACTCCCTCCTACTATATAGTTATCATGCCATTGCTGCTAGATCAGGGCTTGTGGCTTGGTATAAGAAAGCTGAGAAATCTTCATGGAAAGGATATAATTCATGCCGTGATCTATCTATATGTGTTCTCCAACCTCTCTCTCTCTGCAAATCAGTGCCTCATTAGAGCTTGAGCCAGAAGTGAGCAGTGACTCACGAAAGCTCCTACCCTACCACAAATTTTGTTAGTCTTTAAGGTGCTGCTGGACTCTTGCTCTTTTCTACTGTCATTAGAGCTTGCTAGAAATGAATTTATTTGTCTCTCACACGGGAAGCTCTTCCTTTGCTAAGTTCTGTGCCACTATCACTAAAGCCGGAGCCCACATCATGCTGACCTCATTGAAAAAAGGGGTATTCCCAAATTTGATTCTCGTCCTGAATACATGGCTGGCAATTACCACTTTCACCACGGGCCTGATGTTATTTCCTTGCAGTTGCCGGGCTTCTATGATGAAAACTCGCACCTGTAACGGGAGAGGAAGGGAATCATGTCATGCACTGCAAGGGTCTGTGGGACGAAGGGCTATTGGTGAACCTTGGGAGGTTTTCATAGAAAGGCTTAAGAGGTATTGGTGGATTCAGCTAGGGTTTGTGGATAGGTTGTAAGCAGTGTTCCCTCTAAGCTGAGTTGATGTGAGCTAGCTCACAGTTTTTTAGTCTCCACCTCACCCATTTTTGTCTTAGCTCAGGAAGGATGGCTCCAGAGCAAATTAATTTATGCAGTAGTCAAATTGCTCACTCACAACTTTAATGCCAGTAGCTCACAAAGTAGAATTTTTGCCCACAAGACTCCACAGCTTAGAGGGAGCATTGGTTGTAAGGGCACAGCAATATTATCAGTTTAATTATTATTACTCCTAATTACTATCATTACTAATAATAATACTTTGGGCTGCTTCCACAAAGTGTTTTTTCTCTGCTTCGACTTCCAAACTGGAACACTTGGAGTACCCATACCTCTGTACGCTCTTTTTCCTATCCACAGAGATCTTTCTCAGATATTTCATAGGTTCTGTACCCAACCATGCAATTATACATGCTCCTAACTTTTCTTAAGGGCTGATTCTGCACCTGTCTGCTTCCTCACAGTTTTCCCACAGCCACGTCGGGACATTAATCTCCCTCTACACTGCATGCCGTTTTCAGTTCATCGGGCTTTATGGTACCTTCTGCATAGTTTTATGGCCATTCAGTGTTGACATTGCAGTCAGTATGGCGTTGCCCCAGGGTATCTGAATGTGGTTTTGCACCTTTTCCTTCCTCCACTTCCAATTTGAAGGGAACAATAAGCAGACAACTTGACATGGCTTCGTTGATCTCCATCCATTCCCCCACCCCTATTTCCCCCTCTGTATTTATCACCTTGCCATGCATTACTTGGCTCAGTCAGGTGTGATGCACCATCCAAAGCATCTCCTACATGGCTAATGACCGCTGAGCAAGTACTGGGACAGGAAAATCTGCATACCAATGCAGGAGCGAGTGTTGAAAACAAAATAGATGGCAAGCTGACATGGGACTTAATGGGTAGGCAATGCAGAAACCAGGATCTGAGGCAATGCAATGAAAACAGATATTCCGAGGCAAGGGGGAACCAGGTTGAGTGCTGACAAAATGTGGAGCGAATGCCAGATGCAGAATGGACCAAGAAGGCCTGGAAATTCCTGCCAATTTCATCTTCTCACTGCAGCCTACTGAACTCCCACAAACTTTGTTCCTAGCAGCCAGCAGACCCTCAGGAACAGCATAGTAGGGGTCTGCAGTGGAAGGAAGGAATTGGCAAAATTACCAAAACACAAGCGTCCTTAGGTTTTCTTAATGCGGTTGGATACAGGCCTAGCAGAGTTATTCCCCAGTGTTCCCTCATAATTCCCTTTTTTCCATTGTAAAAAACTGTGTGTGTGTCTGTGTGTGTGGGGTGTATTGGTCTTCATCCTTAATGTCTCAATTTCCCCCCAGGCTTCACAGTCAAAGCACATAAAAGGTTTCTTTCACCAGCAAAAGTCCCTTCTTATCAGCAACAGAAGTGTTAATGGACTTTTCCCTCCCCTATGAACTTGCTTGACAATTCAAGTGTTCCTCAGAGGCCCTGCTTCTGTGTGCCCCCATTTTCTTATGTGAGCTGGCTGGTTACCAGAGACGGAACTTTCCTGAAGTAGCCCTCAACCTGGAACTCCCTCCACTCAACCGTTTTCCTGGCTCCTCATTAGTTCCATTTTAAGTGTGGATGAACATGTCTTTGACAGACTTGCTTTTGTATATTTTCCTTCTTTCTTCCCTTCCTTGAGTGAAATGGCATTTTAATAGTCTGCACAGATTACTTCTAGGTTTTAAAGAAATGATTTTACTGTTGGTTTTAGCAAAATGTTTTGATGCTGCTCTGTTTGGTTGTTTTTGAGTTTGTGATGCTGACGATTGGTTTACTGCTCATTTTTAAAAACATTTAGTGTGGGGCTCCTCCCATGCAAGCACCACACCCCTGACCCTCAGCTGTCATGCCACTTTCACTCCCTGGGGTCTCCGTCTCCCCAGGGCCTCAGAATAGAAAGTAGGGTGGAAGGTTTCGTCACCCAAGTCTACCGGCTCTGTCATGGACCGTTGCCCTTGTCTATGCAGTGCTTGTACAGTCATCAGTTATACTTCCTCCCCACCTTCATCAGTCAGTCCCAGACCCCCCCCCCGGCTCCACTCCTAGGACCTGAACCATTATTTGGGTCAGGATTGCAGCACCACTCCCCCCAGTCTCCGGCCGCACCTTGGCTGGCTTTCTCCCTTGCTCTCACTGGCCTGTTCCTGAGAGGCCTCCAGCCAGGCCCTTCCTCCCTGGAGAGGCTACAAGGGTCGAGCTTCAACAGATAAAATAGAATCAAAACAAATATTTATTATATGGTGTAAACAATAGTAAAATTAAGTTGCTTTACCTGGAAGCATTGTTTTTTGTCTGATAATGGTTTCTTGGTTCCTGGAGGAGAGCCGCTTTCTCCAGGTGGTGGAGGAACAGAATCACCTTTCCCCTTCTGACTCTCAGGCAATTCTTCCTCTACATAATCCTTTGTAGAAACAGGGCACCAGGCTGGTACTGATCAGGAACAACATTATGTTCAAAGGAAGGAGCTACAAAGATACTACCAAGCCTCTTCACCTTGACAAACTGGAATGCGTTAGGTGATGCTCCCTGAACCAGGTGGCGCAGGTGGCTAAGAGCATGGGCAGTGGGATGACATAGGCTTGCCAACCTCTTGGTGGGGCCTGGCGATCTCATGGAATTACAACTGGTCTCTGCACTATAGAGATCAGTTCCCTTGGAGAAGATGGCTGCTTTGCAGGGTGAACTCGATGACATTATGCCCTGCTGAGTTCCCTCCCCTCCCCAAACCTCACTCTTCCCAGGCTCCACCCACAGATCTCCAGGGATTTCCCAGTTCAGAGTTGGCAACCCTGTGTGTTCTTACAGAAGCAGGTGAAGGGGCCTGGGGATGGGAAGGCAGGCACTGGGAGGGCCTGGCGGTGGGCAGAGTAGATGAGGGGAGGGGGCCCTTGGAACTCTCTGCCTGGGCCCCCCAAGACCTGGAACTGGCCCTGGTATCCCCACATTCCCTGCCTCCAGTGAGCTTTATGCCTTTTATTAAAAAGGTTGTAGGGTTATTGCTTTAGTGTTTTAACACTTTAGTGATATACCACCAACCAATTATAATTTTTTTAAAGATGGTAAAAGCCTGTCTGAGGGTGCGGTCAGATGTGCCTTTAGATCTGACTCAGCTGTGGATGCCTGATGGATCTAAAAGGCACAATCAGACAGCAACGTCTGGGAAAGGTCCTGCAGTCGTCGGCACCCCGTGCCGCTCCTCCACAGAAGCGGAGTTAAAAGACACTGGGGAAAGTCTGGTCCTAATGCTTGCTGACGGGCCACAGAAGGCGTTTCCCCTGTCTGATTGCTCAAGAATGCACCCAAGCCATCAGGATTGTTTGCTCATTCCATCCCGACTCGGTGCTGTCCCCCCCCCCTTGATTAGCAGGATGCGCATAACTGCATACTCCATGGGGAATCCCTGGTGCAGAGGTGCAATTCCTCATTTATGCACGTGGGAAACAGAAGGCAACCCCCCCTTGCTCACCCAAAGTGGCGTTTGATTGCGCAGTGATGGGCTGGTTGCAAGGGGAAATGGTGCCAGATGTGGGCAGAAAGTTATGGAAATTCAGATCTGCATGTTCATATTTCCCCTAAACCTGCTTTGAGTACGATCTTCCCAAAGATATTGTACTACAAGGTTTGGAGGAGACCAAAGTGGAGCCAGAAGTTCGCATGATGCCAAGCTGAACCCCAAATTTTAAAATGCTCCCTTGGGGGAAGTCAGAAAAAAATGTCCCTGTGGAAGCAACTTGTATATCTGGCTAGGTCCTGGACCTATTCCCGTACACTTACGTAATTTCTTCAAAGCAGTTTTTCTTGATTGCACCATTTTTGGTTCCGGAGGCGTGAGGGATGCCTTTATAGAGATGAGGCACTAAAATGGAGAATAACATCAACTCTGACCAGTTGGTATGCTTGTAAAGTGAAAAAACAGTGCTCAAAAATAAAGGTCAGCCTAACTGGGGAGGGGGTGGTGGTGTCTGTCAGCATCTGATGCCCCCTTAGAAATGTTTCAGGCCTCTCCTCTGAATTTTCAGCTTATATTTCCAAAAAAGGTTTCTAATCCATTAGTCAAGATTGCACATAGCTTCTCTTGCATGCTGAATAATTGCCTCAGGGTGATAAAGCAGAGAAGGTCCTACAAGTTGGTTCTCCTTTCCCCCCAGGTGTTTAATAAGCCTTAAGCAACTTACAGTGGGATGTGTATGCATGTTGGGGGGAAGCAGCTGGGCTAATAAACTTTTTGCATAGGTTGGAAACTTAAACAGATATATTTTACTCCTGGATATTTCCGGGAAAACCCGCAGGCAATCATTCTACTTAATTGCTCAGTAAGAAGTGAACCTGTCCCCATCTCCCACTTCTCCAGCCCATAAGTGAAAAGGTTCTGGTATGACAGACAGGATCATTTTTGTAACATTACCCAAAGTCTATATCAGCCCAAGACAAGAAAAAAAAGTCAAACACAGAAGGAAAGTCTAACTCTTGTCTGGAGCCACTGCAACAACTGACAGATACCCAAATCCTATCACATTTCTTTTCTGGCTTACACCTGTTGCCTTGTGTTCGCTGTCACGGAGAGCCATTCTCTTCATAGTGATGATACTGTTTGGTCTTGCAAGAACACCTGCTAGGGGCACACCGACAGACCCAAAAGAGCTAGGAGAGGAAAGAAATGTGGGAGTCAGCATACAGCTTCCATGCAGTAAATGTTATTCTTTTCCGCTGCAGTGATGGAGCCAATATGGAAGTAATGGAGCCATAAGAGAAAATAAGGTTTAGTTTTTTTTACTGGGGAAATGGAAATCTGGAGAAAAACTGAAACACATGCAG